CTTCTAAGTGGAGATCGTACTCAGTTCACGGCCTGAGTTCATGGCCGTGACCATTGAAACGCGTCTGTGAACTCAGTGCTGAGACCAAAACACACCGCTTCATTTGCTCGGGTTCACGAGTTATGGCTCCAGTTAACGGTCATGTAAGATTATGAACTCCAACGTCTGGTCGTGAACAACGACTGTCTCCACCTCTTTGCCCGGTCTTTGCTCCTTTTCTTACAACTTTCGACTCCGAGTTTGGTTTACCTGTTAGGATATGAAACACACTAAAACATAAGCAACCTCGCGTAAAACCAACATTTTTGGAGTTCAATTGCAACAAACGTCAAAAAGAATCGGGGATAGAAGGTGTACAATTAGGCCCTAATAAGCTGTTGACCAAAATAGCCTAAACTAATTTTCACCGTAAGATTGTTAATTTTTAATTTAATGGCTATAGATATGGTTATCATGGTGCTAACTTCTTAGGGAGTTAGCAAGCCATCTCATCCCCTAGCATGCAAACCACCTAGTTTTTTCTGAATTAATTTTATGTTTTGTCTTATTAATTGGATAATAACTTTTCACTTACGTTTTTTAGGAGATGGATGAATGTTTAAAGAATCAATTTTATGTTATGTGAATGAATGTTATTATTTCATCTCATGCTTGTTCTTGTTTATGACTTTTGATGTATATGATGATCATTGATGCTTTATGGTTTTCGATGCTTATGATGTTCATTGATGTTTCTATAGTATGAATCCTCTTAATACCATTGATGTTTATGATTCTATTGTATGCTACTATATACATTATGTTTAGTGTTGCCTAGATTGTTAAGTAATTACCTTCCCATTGATGCTACACGAGTATTGGATGATTGATCACCCATCTATGCTGCGAGTAGTATCAATGCTTGATTGTTAGATCATCGATGCCATAGACTATAGTTATGGTTCGTAAAAGACCACAATTAACTATATGTTATCCTAACTTCCTTGTTCTTCATTGATTAGGTAATGGCACGAAGCAAAAGCATGCATTAGCTAGTTAAATCTCTGTCGCAAGAGGCGCACACAAGGGTAGAGAGTGGCCTTAGAGGAAGGGATAGGACATTACATTATATGAACCATCGATGCATGATATGAATGATCCCTAGTTTGTATGATCATTTTCGAGTTCATAATGTATTACAGTAACTTATCTTTTTTTTATGCATATATAAATAAAAAACCCTAAACAACATTACTCTTCTTGTTGCTTGTTCAATCTGTCTACATCATGATGGTTGGTGTGAGTAGTTGCGCATTAAAAGACCTCGAGGAATACAACTGACTTGCACCAAACTACACCACGAATTAATCCCGACTAGAGCCCAAGTTTTTAAACTCTAGCCGTGTGCAGTATAGGGCAAGTATTTAATTGTCAAACCCGGGCCAGTCTATGTACCCCTACTTCAATCACTTACGTTGTTATCTAGCAAAACAGTTTTGGGTTTAAAACTAAGAAAACTACAAACTAAACAAGCAAGGAAAGTAAATGGAGGAGAATTCTACTTGAGGGGACTTCACTTGGGTATTGCTCCCCCTAGTCTCATGCTAAGAAGCGACAAACAAAGCTCTAGCGTGAAGAAAGTGTTCATACACCGCAAGGTGGGTGCAACTAGCTAGGAACAAACTCCCTTAGTCTATCAATTAAGGAAAATCAACAACTATAAGCTACGGGAACTAGCTCTCTTAACCGTTAGGTCAATGATTGTAATTCATAGCTAGGGAACCTAGCCCTCCTTACCGATCCACCTGTCGCAACAGCCCCTCTGAAAGTCGGGTGCGCTCGCGATTTGCTCGGAGTCGCCATCGATTTTACTTGGAGTGGATCGAGAACTCATTTGGCCCGGTTCCAACCTCAGGGTCAGAGCTGGGACTTGGTCTGCGAAATTTTGGATTCTAGGTTCGGGAGTACGGTTACTTGTAGGGAAGTGTATTAACACCCCACAACGCCCGAAATTGGTACTACTTAAATCGTTAAGTTTTTTTTTTAAGAGTTGGGTGTATTATTATTATTTGGCTTCATATATGTTTTTTTTTATATAGAATTAATATAAGTGTAATATGATTCGATTTTACACCTATTGATGTAAATCTCGAGAATTAAAGAAAGAATTTTGATTAGTTGGACTTGAAACCTATTGGTTGCCTACGTACCCGAGTAGTCGGGATCAAAGTCCACGTAGTTCGATTATGTTGAAGTTTTAAAATTTCGAGTCTCACAAACATTGAAATGTGGAGAAAATTTGTTAGTCGGACTTGAAACCTATTGGTTGCCTACGTACCCGAGTAGTCGGGATCAAAGTCTACATAGTTCGTTTTAAATGTTGATCTTAACACATTATATTGATCTTTTTAAGGTTTAAGATTGGGTTTTGGAAAGGATATATTTTTTTTTATAATTATGTAATTGAGTAGTTGATAATTGTTCAAAGATTTAAAAAAAAAATGATTAGCACGGTCAATTGACCATCGCCTAGTATTTAATACTTAGAAATTTTAACATGTACAAATGATTATTATAATTAAGTTAAAGCTAAGAAGTTGGTTATGTTGGATTGGTATGAGACTTTCGTATTAAACGTATTAAGTTAAAAGTTAGGTGCCGATTAATAATAACCAGGCATAGGCTGTGATAATCTCATTGGTATAATTGTTAAATCAGAATTATAATGAGAAGGAGGCCTATAGTTTGATACTCGTTTGACAACAAGCACCACTTAAAAAAAAACCTAATCCCTCCCCATTTGCATCTAGCGGCCGCCACCTCCATCATCATCTCTTCTTCCACTCGTCCCCCTCTAGAAAATAAACAAAACTTAAAGAAAGAAATAGGAAACGATGAGATCTGCAACCTTCTCGTTTCATACTCTCATCTTCTACTTCTTTTTGGAAACCAAGAAAAGACTCGAAAAAGAAAGTGACGATGATGCTCCATACGGCCCTCAAATCGACTGTAAGTCGAAATTCAAGGCTTGCATGTTCGTTTTCATGGGTTGATTCTGATTTTTGGGGAATTTTTAGGGTTCTAACCCCTTTTTGTTCTGATTTCTGACGAGAGTGGCGGAAGGGGTGAAGGAGATGGGAACCGCCAGCGACGGAGACGGGTTGCTTCCAGGTAGAGCTGTCAAAATGTAATCAGATTCGAGTAACCCGCCCGATCAATCCGACCCGCAACCCGCCCGCAATTTGATTTGACTAAAAGTCAATGACCTGTAACCCGCCCGACCCGTAATCCTATCAACCCGCAACCCGATTAACCCGCAATCCGACCAACCCGCAGCCCGACTATAATAGAAGGAATTCGATGAAGAAAAACCAAAAGTTGACTTTTGAAATTCTAGTTCACTAAAGTCTGATCATTACATCATCAATTATTAACTTAGTATAATAATATACATCATCAACCTATTAACGCATATAATATCATCAAAAATTTATTTAGATACATCATCAATCTAATAGTGCACATAATAAGATAATTATAAGATTTAAAACCGAAATATCATGGTCCTGTCATAAAAAAGACTAATAATAGTTCACAAAAGTCTGATCATAACAAGAATACATGACTCATAATAGTTCACATTGTCTCAAGACCTCAAATATCAATAAAAACATGTCCAAAAAACAAATTGACATTCCAAATGACGATCATAACAAGAATACATGACTCATAATAGTGTTCACGACCGGTGGAAGGAAGAAGCGGCGATAACACTGGAGGGAAGAGGCGGCGGTCAAGGGTGCTATGCTCTCTCGATTTAGGGTTGCGACACGAACAGGGAAATAGAAATGGTTGTCGGCGAAGGGATCTAATTGATTTGAAGGGGCAGCGGTCAACTGTGCCTGACCCACAGCGACAGAATAAAGGGTCGGCCGACAGAAGAAGCGGCGCCGGCGGAGATCCTACGGCGGCAGACTCAAGGAAAGTGCCGAGTGCAGAAGGAGATGAAAAGAGAGGGTCGACTACGGCAGGCGGCGGCTAGAGTCGACTTGTAGGGTATATGGTTAGTGTATAAGGTATTAATGGTTTGGCCACGATTAGTCAAAATCATAACTAATAAGATCAAGTTTTCTTATTAATATATGTTCATGAATCAAACCATTAGGGGTTTAGGGTATAGATTATAAAGTCGACTTATAGGGTATAAGGTATTAATGGTTTAGCCATGATTAGTCAAAACCATAACTAATACGCACTATAGGAAAACCGGATTTTAGACACAGGATGTTATTCGCGGGAAGTTTTTTCCGCACTAAGAAGTATGCTAATAGTCATAGGAAAATTTACTGTTTTTTATTATGTAGTTCTAATCACGGGAATAAATTTATCTAATTTCAGTATTCGTTTCCGGTGACTAATATTTTTTCATGGTTAATTACCGTGAACAATGTAATAATTTACCTTTCTAAATTTTAGGTAAAAACAAAGAACTAAAAAACCTAAATATTTGGAGGGAATCCTACCATTTTTATTTTGGCTCCTAAATTTGACTCAGTTGAGAAACTTTCCCCGACTTTCCTTCTCAAATTTGTTTCCTTCCCGTCTTCCCCCCATTGTTTCCCTCTTATTCTTTGACCAAAATTACAGCTATTAAACGTGTTATACGGTTTTATACGCATTTAGTAGTGTATTAAACAGAGTATTTATTAGCTATGGATTTTGAATCCCTCCTTATTTTAACAAATAAAAATTTAGAATCAATGCAATTTTTCTCTTTCAGAGACTCCAAAAAGTTCTCACATTATGGGTAATTTTTTCAAGGATTTTTGTAAAATCGGACTCCTTTTGCAAATCCAAAAATTTGTACTGATACAAGCAAAACAATTTGGCCCTCCCGCATATTTTCCCTCCCTCCCCAATTCTGAAATTTGGCTACTGAAATATTTGACTCCAAAGTCTAAAAGTTTTGGCGCTCTCCAATTTGGCTATAAAGAAAAACTAAAAGTGGCATTACCTTTTTAGCCAAACCCAAATTATCTTCGTTCCACAGAAGAAAAGCCACCCTTTCTTCCTTTCTTCCCCCGACCACCCTCTCCGGGTCATGGCCGCTTCGCTTTCATCCATTCTTCCCCAAACCAGCCTCTTCTTGCCACCCCGCCTTCCTCACCGTCGCCCTGCCTTTCCCTTCCTCATATGCCCTTTCGACGCACTCACAAGCTTCTTTTGAACTACCTTTCCCCTGATGTTGGACCCAGCCACACAAACCCTAATTTCCCAGTTTTAGATGCTCCACCACCTCCGCCTTGCACCATTGGTAACCGTCGCAGCTTCGCCTCCGTTCTTAGCTCATACGGAGAGATGTGCTTCTGGCCAGGCAGATGCATTCGTTCGCATCAGAGCCCCTCCTCTGGCCGCCTTGGCCTCTTCCATTCTCGGCCCTTTCTTATCAGTGGGCTCCCGAGATTCAATTTTTACTCCTCCTCTTTCAGAAGTTCTGGACGGTCTGGTCTCGATTTCACTCACACATTTGGGGTCGACATTTCCGCTTTGGGTGAAATGAGGGTATGTAATTGATCAAATTGTGAATTTTTCAGTTTTCTCTGAACTGAACATTTCTCCTTCCCATTGAACATGGATTTGAGGTATAGGTCAGTGATAACAAGGCTTCACAATTTTTATTTTGCTTGTTTCATGGTGGATAAGCTGTAATTTGAGGTATAGGTCAGTGACAACGAGGACAAACGAACACTGAATGCGTTACGAATTTGGGTGAAAATGACATGGGATGGGCTCTGTTTTGTCCTCTGCCTTTCTGAATCTGATTCTTGTGAATCGTTTTGTTGCCACAGGAGCAAGAAGCTTTGACAGATCTCATGAAGAAAGAAGTTTCTTGTCAGGAAGAAGATTGATTCAGTGAACAAGTAACTGAAGCCACTAGGGCAATCAGTTCCGAAGAAAGTATAGATATAATAATAAGGTTATATAATATTGAGTGAAGTTATTTAGAGTTGTTAACTATTTTCTTGCTCTTTTAGTGTGTTGGCAGGAGGATGACGTGGTTTGAGTACATGTTGAGTGAAGTTATGAGCCCCATATGTTTTTTATGAGAGAAGTTATGAAGTGTATACTAGTTCCTGCCTTGAGAACAAGGCATTTGGGCTAGTCTTTATAAGTCCTTTAAGCTTCTAGCCTCTTTGTTCATGTTCTGTTGGATTTGAGTTTAACTAACTTTTCATTGATGTCTGAAATTTTAATTAGCCTGATTTCTTCTCTAGCGCATCAATAGTACAGTTGATAAAATTCCATACCTGATTAACCAAACCATCTTTACAATTCCAATACTGCTACCTTGTTATTTCTCTGTTTATGTTTCTTTTTCTTTGTTTCGTCTCTTGGGTTCAAGTTTGATATTGCACCATGTAGTGATGAAGATCAGATCATACAAGGTTATATAATATTGGTATTTTTTTTTTTATTGTTGTTCATGACAGATACAAAGGTGCAAGATGTCACGGATGGAGTCAATGACACATATTTTTTCGGTAGAAGAAGGATGATTTTGAACAGTTAACTCTAGATAGATCGACAGTCTTCATGTTGACTTTAGACCCATAGAAGTAATAATTAGTTAGCTTATTGAGGAGATGTAGATTGTAACAGTATAGAATTATTGACTACAAGATTTGATGACTTTCGATTGTTGATAATAATATTATTTTGCTGTTATTTGGTGGTCATTAAACTTTGATACATGGTTTCTATAACTAATAATGAAAGCCACGATGAAGAGACTTTGAGTCTTTGACTTTGTTTCCCCAATAATTCCTCTCTTCCAAAATTTTGTTTCCCCAAAATTTTTTGACAGGTCGGGCAAATAATTCCCCTCCTCCAAAGTTTCTATTTGTTTAACTTGAATTGGTTTATCTTTTATTTTTTAATTTATTCAGTAGGATTGCAATTCAAGATGGTTTCCTTCCTCACTTTCCTTTATCGATACAAATATATAATCATACAAACGTCCATTTGATGATATATTCTATACCTGATAATAGTATCAAGTCTTGGTGGTCTCCTTAATAGATCTTTACTGTATTGTGCTACCTTCATGTAGTTGATTTACGATTTACGACTTACTAATAATCAATAAAAAGTAACGCGATGAGCTGGTCCGTAAAACCCGCAACCCGAACCGCCCGACCCGCAACCCGATTGACCCGCACCCGATTGATCCGTAATCCGATTGGCGCGCAGCCCAATTGACCCGTAACTCGATTGGCCCGCAACCCGAGTGACCCACAACCCGATCAACCCAAACTCGATCAACTCGCAACCCGATCAACCCGTAACCCGAATGAACCCAGCCCGAACCCGCCCGATTGACACCTCTACTTCCAGGTGAGGCAACGACGAGGCAGAGAGAGGATGCAAGTTCTAATTGGTAAGGGTATGTGTGATTATTTTGGGGGTTTTCAGTTGTTTAGGATTCTGATTTAGGTTTTATGTCTTGATTCTGGGTTTAGTGGTTCAATCGAGGGGAAGAGATGTAATTAGTCCGAATAGGAGGGAAGGGAAGGGCGGCCGCCAGCAACTCTGAGCTTCGCCGGCGGCGGCGACGACAATGACAGAGGGGAACTTTTCTTGTGGTGATGTATTTTTGTCGGTTTCTTTTTGGTTTAGGTAAGTTCTGACCCCTTCTCTAACTATTTTTGGCAGAATTCTAGGCAAGAGGAAACTTAGGTAATGCTCCCCTGTTTCTCAAATTTGTATGATTGTGAGGTGTCCCAAATGGAATGGGATTTGGTGGATAATGGATTTCAAGTTCTGGGTTTTTTCTAAAAGTACGAAGATATATGAGGTTATGCGGTGGTTGAGGGGATTTGATTCTGGAAAATTGATTCATTTTTAATGGTGGATCGTGGTGATTTAGGGATGAATTGGATGAAATTTGTCTTGTTTATGCTGGGTATGAATCTGGGAATTGTGCTTCGTAGCTAATCATTTTGATTGGTAAATTGGTTTACAGATTCATAGTTGGGAAATATATGAGGATGTGATTGTATGTGTTGTGATTTTGAAGCTTGGCATTATGTTTGATGGGTTAATTTGCTGGGTTTGAGGTTTTAAATGGTGGGAGAGATGGGAATGGGTTTAGATTAGAGAGGATGCCCTTATAACGAAAGAAAGGTCTTTCAAAATACCTTCCAAGTAGAGTCTACATGTGTTTACTTTGGAATGAATTGGTAGGATTAAGATGAATAATGATGATTTTGATTAGATCATGATATACCAAGCTTGTTGCTTGTAGTTTGATGATGATTCTGACTCCTTTCTCAACTTCTGTTTTTGTTTGACTGTTGCTTTTCTAACTTCTTGCTGCTGCCTTCTTGTCCATTTTGAGCTTTTTTGTTGTTGTGCGGATTTGTGAAGAAGCAGCAGCAGCAGAAGTAGATGCTGAGGTTTTTCTTTTGCCCTCCTTTGTCCCTCTTTGTGGCTGTACTTGGCTAAGAAGAGAGGGGATTTTGTAGTGTTCTATTTCTTGTGTGATTTGTTTTTGTGTATTATTTTCGTAGCCAAGAAGAAGAAGAGAAGAAGCAGAGCAGTGTTTATGTTCTTCGTGTTGTTTGTTGATCAGAGGAGAAGAAAAAGTCGGGACATAAAGCTTGGGGAAGAATCAGAAGAAGAAAAGGAAAAGAGTCAACCCTTGTTTTTTTCTCTACCGCCTCTGTATGTTCCGAGAGGGGCAGGAAGTGTTAGTGTTTTTTTCGTCCAAGAATGGAAGAGGAGAACGTGAAGAGAAGGAGGTTTTTTTTTTTATAGAACAAGGCAGCTTAGGGAACAAGTAAGCTACAGTGCTGGTTATGGGTTGGATCAGTCTGGGTTGTGTCGGACCAATATGGGTTTGGTCAGACCTGGTCTCTGATCGGCTTGACTTTGTTGACTGGTTGAGGGTTGACTTTGACTTTGAATTTGACCTTGTTCGTTCTTATTTATTGTACAATTACAATCACAACTATTGTAATTAATTGTAATGTTTTTATTTATTAAAGTGTGCAATTCGGTTGTAAATCTAATGTAATTATGATTGTTACAATTATACTTTATGTTATAATGTTTGGTAATCGAAATAGCCAATTGGCATGCTATGTTTATTGCAATAAGTGACCAATCTCTAATTTGATTTTTGGGTTAATTGCATGGTTGGTCACTGAGATTAAAAAAACGTTCATGTTTGGTCACTGAAAATGTTTAAATCTTTTCTTGGTCACTCAAATTAGTTAAATGGTTCTAGTTTGGTCACTCTCCGTCCAACTCCGTTAAATTTGTCTGATGTGGCAGTCAACCCTTAAAGTTGACCGTTAACTCAGTGACATGGCAATTAAAAAATAATAAATAAAATAAATTTTAATCCTCTACCATTTCCAAGTCATTTTCATAATAAAGTAAAATAAATAAATGTTTTATTGATTGTGAACAAACCAATGAATCGAAAATTCTCGAATGCTGCAAATCGGAAGCTCTCTTTCCCGGCCGCGCTCGACCTTCTTAATGCCATTGATTGGAGAATCTTCTCTAATAAACCTCTACTATTTGCTTCTCTTTTGCAAACCAGTACTAAAGCTCTGTCATTTCGCTCTGGACTTCAAATTCATGCCCATGTAGTGAAGTCCGGCCTCGAGACCGATAGATTTGTGGGGAACAGCTTGCTCGCGCTTTACTTCAAGTTGGGTTCTAATTTCGTCGAGACTAGGAGACTTTTCGACGGGCTCCATTTCAAAGACGTGATTTCCTGGAACAGCTTGCCCCAATCATGTAATTTCCAGCGCGTTGATTGATATGTATGGAAGGAATCTGGGTCTCGATGATGCACGCTAACTGTTTGACGAGTTGCTCCAACCAGACGCTATTTGTTGGACGAGTTGCTCCAAGGTAAAGAAGTTCATTGCCAGTATGTGAGGAGAGGTGGGTGGCGAGATGTCATTGACTCATTGTGGAGTCGGATTGACGGATTTAGTCGACCTCTATGCAAAATGTGGCTCTGTCGATTTCGCTTACAGGGTGTTTGAACAAATGTTAATGAGAATAAATGTTTTATTTATTTTACTTTATTTTGAAAATGAGTTGGAAATGGTAGAATATTAAAACTTATTTTATATTTTATTTTTTAATTGCCCCGTCACTGAGTTAACGGTCAACTTTGAGGGTTGACTGCCATATCAGACAAATTTAACGGAGTTGGACGGAGAATGACCAAACTTAAACCATTTAACTATTTTTTTTAATCTTAGTAACCAACCTTGTAATTAACCCTTTGATTCTTTCTTTTACCAAACTCACAAAACCTATGTCTTATAACCCATTCAAAGTCACGACTCTAATAAACTCAATTGATAACCAAATTATGTGAGTTCCTAGATCATCAAACCAAGATCAAAACACAACCACTAGTCACTATTAAATTGTATCCGTTGAGATTTGCTATTGCTAATCCCATCGAGTTATGGCAAACATGACCCATCTCAGACACTATCAATATGCTTTAGTTAAAAGCATGGAACAGGAAACCGGATCGTACCGGTCGGTTCAATCGAAAAAACTGGGAACCGGACTGAAGCGACGAAGAAAGAGGAGATTAACCTAGATTGGCGCTTTTTATGGTCGATTTGGTAGGGGGTGGTTCTATTTCTACAGTTGGAGGAGTAAATCGAGAGAAGAGGCAGAACGGGGAGAAGTAAATAGAGCGAGGAAGGAGAAGGAGTTCTCCGTTGTTTTTGACAGACATACATAAAAAAAGGGATAGAAGATGGAAGGTTGGGACTTGGTCTGGGGTTTTCTTTTTTGGTATATTTTTTCTTGCCAAATGATAGAGGAAGGAGAGAACAAGGTGAAGAGGCAGTAGGGTTTCTTGCTCTCCCTCTTACGCCATCTTTATATTGTATTTCAAAACATAACCAAATGACCCACTTGTTTCTTCAAAATTACCCCCTTGCCACCTTGATTTTGTAAAAATACTGTGATGATCCTTTATTGAGTCCCCTGATGATTCAACAACAAAAAAATCATGATGATGTAATTATTTAAAATGTTAGATTTTATATGATAATTTGTCCAATTTATGGCCGATTTGATTTTTATTCTATGATTATTTAGTATTTTATTATTCGTTGTCCGATATTATTCCAGTATAATTCCGGTATTACTTCGATATGGTAGGCTATTTTTTCCGACACGGTATTTTAATGAAAATATTTATTTTTTATTAAAAAATTGGTATTTTATCGTTATGAAATGATTGAACCACGGTCGTACCACAAAATACCCTGCCACAAACTTATCCGGTATGATCTCCGGTACAGTTTCTTGAACCATGGTTAAAAGGTTATTTAACATTCGCTATTTCAAACTTTAATAAAACTTAATTTTATTAGATTAAATATATTTTAACCCGGGCAAAAAGTGGTGTCTACACAACCAAGGAGATCCCTAACTCTCTTAGTTAGCTAATTGAGAATCGTCGCAACAAGTTAGAAAGCTAACTCTCTTAACCTTTCGGCTAAGGGCGACAATGATAGGCTAGGAACCTAACCCTCTCAACTAGTTGACTAAAGATTGCAACCCAAACCCTCGGAACTTAATCCAGTCGGCGGAGAGACCAATTCTGGTGGAATCACGGCCATACTCCGACACTTGGGATTTTGGTCTTAAATCGATCTAAAGGAGGTTACCCAAGTGGCTAAGAAGTCTAGCTTCCTATTGGACAAAAGGGGGATTTCCACCCTCTAGGTCAATTTTACCCGATATTGAGTTAAAGCTAGCACACTCAATCATACATGAATAATACCTCAAATATCATGTAAAACACTCAATCAACACAATAGGTTCACCCTTGAAATGAGGAAATCTTCAATACTCTAGATAGGAACAAGCCCAAAGCTCTTTTTTCCTCCATTGATTTGCACTTTCTCACTCTAGAAGAAACCCTAACCTGTCACTAGAATCCTCTTTATTCTGAAAATGAAAACCTAACCTAAAAATGGAACCCCTTTCTCCTTCAGCTCCCTTCTCCTTTTATCCCCAGATTAGGCTCTGTTCAAGGATGCGTTGATCAGGTCAAGGTCTTAGACCTCAATTCACGGCCGCGTTGATTAGTTCACGACCGTGAACATCAAAAAGCGTTCGTGAACGCATAGTCTGGACCAAAATGCACCGCTTCGATGGCTCGGGTTCACTGTATGTGGCCTATGTTCAAAATCTTAGCCACCGTGAACAACCTGGCCATCAGTACTCTGAAAACCCTCTCTGGTCACTTCTTGTTTCAGGAGTTCTGGCTCTAGTTCCTGACGACCTTGACAATTGCGTCCAAATAGTGACTTTGGACTTTTCTTCGGTTTTTTGTGATTTTTGACCTCCAATCTTCCCAAAATTCATCCTCGACCCTTCCACACGTGGTAGGACTTGAAATGTATCAAAACAAGCACAACCTAGCATGAAATATGTCGAGGAACGATGAGAAGCAAAGTAAAACTATCAAGAAATGAGGGGCAAATGTGTACAATTGGACCCGAATCACTCACCTACACTTGAACGTTTGCTTGTCCCAAAGCAAACCAAGTATAAAACAAGGTAAGCTTGCAACTTCTCTTTCTCAACAAAATTTTTTAGGCATGTAATTGGGCACAAAACAAATGAATCACAATGGTTATTTGACATCGATCTATGGACAAAAACAAATTAATCTTGGCAACCACCAAAAACGACATTCGACTGTATTAAGATTGTTCAAAAGAAGAGTTCTCAAATTATTTATCAACCAACACATAACCTTCTTCGACGACTCACCAATCACAATTACTCAAGCATGAAGATCACATCATAGGAACGAACGATCGAGCAACCTAGGTCCTCACCGGGGTATGAGAAATGAACAAAACATGATGAATGAATCACCCACTCTCGACTAGTGGGGTCAGGACCATTTGATGCAAAAGATGTGCATATTCACGCTCAATCCTAACGTTCCTTTACCATGATGGTAGCCTCTAAATGCTAGAGCTCACAAGATGGGTGTCGTTGCTAGCTTGTTTGAGGTCTTAGGCACCGGTTCAAATGATTGGCTAGGGTCTCGGACATGGGGAAAATGATATTTTGGTGGTGGCACGTATTTCATGAGGTTCCACAACTTCAACCTAGAACCAAAGTACAAGGTTCATTAGCTTCGATCCAGAACCTTCGTCAAAAAACAATGACCACTAACAACGGCCAAAAACCACACTTCCCAAACTTCCAAAACACAACCAATTACCAACCCATTCACAACTATCTTTCTTTCTACATTTGCTATTCAATTTTAAGCACAAGAGTGTAGAAGTCAACAACATGTATGTGTTTCTATAGCTTGTATGCCAAGAAACACTTCTAAGAGCACGTTCAACAATTATTATATTTTTTGTGGCCACTCTCTTTTCTTCTTTGCCATCTTATTGATCTCTCCTCTTTTTTTTTTTTTTGCTTTTCTTTTCTCTTTTCTTTGGGGGCTATAGAGAGCTATAAACATGCCACATTTTTTTTAACTTAAGGAATAATGATCACTTCTACGAACTACCTCCATACTCACTTCACTTCTTAGCGAAACCATACACAAACCAGTCGTGTGGAACCTCGTTTAAGCTCAAATGGTATGAATGGAGCTTCCAAACACAAGGGTGACTCGATAAGGTGTAGACACAAAGAAAGTAGGTCTCTCTATCTAAATCAATCAAGCTCAAGTAGCGTGAGCTACCTAACGCAAGAATGACCCTTAGACACACGACTCAAAGGGGTTGACTAAGGGATGATGTGATCGGGTCGGTCAACTTTTGGGTCGTGGGCTAAACCTATGCCTCCATCTTCCTCGCTAGCAACAACGTGAATGCTACACATCATGTAAAGGGGAATCTATCGCACAAGAATGAAACGAACGGCACAAGTCGCACATGGCTACCTAGGTGCTCAATCATTCGTTCTAATTCCCTAAACTCGATGCATAGGCAACTGTAACAAGCAAGTAGTCGATTAAAAACATCTATCGTTTCACAAACACAAGAGAAATGAACCTATGCACAAACCTAATACACGTCTCAATCATCATCATAGGTTGCACATAATCACAAGTAAATCATCGGTAGAGAATGCTAATAACCACGAGATTCAAAACAAATCGCCATTAGGTGCCACTATGATCATGCAAATGTAGAATTTGTTATAGTTTGAGCCCTCAAATTTTATAAATTTGGGTATACAACTAGGCTCCATGCATTTAAAATCACACCAAACATTCACACACACATGCATAATGGACTATCCCCTCACTTAAGCTCGACATTGCCCTCAATAACGTAAAAGAAGGAGGTAAAACGATGTTACCGGATAGTGGTGAATGTTGGTGGTCGGAAACGGAGGGCGGGTGAGATCTGGAAGAGCAAGGAGGCGGCAAAACAAAGGGTCAACTTTATTGAAGCCAAAGTGAAACAAACCGATGGAGGTTGGGTTGCCTCCCAACAACAGCTTCTTTAACATCGTGAGCCGGACGGTTGCTCTTCAAGTTTCGGTCCATCCAAGAACCTCCTTGAAGTTGAGGTTCTCGTCGGTGAGATGAAATCTCAAGTCACAGGCATTGGACGAGTCCATGATTGAGGGCTCCTTAACTTGATCGGCTTTGAGGCTCCACCCACGAGACTTCTTCTTCTCCTTTCTATTTTCCCCATACCATGTAGTGCATCATCGATTTAACACCATCACATCCACCAAGAGGGATTGCCGATGGTTTGGCCTTGGATTGGCAAATAGCCGCAAATGGGTCCTTCTACAAAAGCGCACCGAGGTTGGGTGGAAAACATTGGTAGCACTTGTAACTTGTGGATGCTTCATCCACCTCGACCTCATCCTCATCTTGGACACCATTTGCTTCTTCTCCTTCTTCCTCAACCTCCCTTCCTTCTTCTTCAATTTCCTCACGTTGGGAAGGATCAAGGTACCCCCCTTCTTTGATGCTCACTTCTCCTCTTCAACCTCTTCTTTCTCCTTCCTATTCATGTCTCCAATAACAAATTTGAGGGCAAGATGCCATGCAAGGTCATAGAAGGGATTCTATTGCTCCTCCACACTCGTGTCTTGGTCTTCAAAGTTGCTTTGGGGAAGGGGTAGATGATGGGAGTCGTCAATGCATGCAACCTTCTCATTCATCCTCGCCATGAGAGCTCTCCGGGGTGTGTTTCTCTAGCTCCACATGGTTATCATGGAGCGCCCCTTCAACCTCCTCTTTCTCCTCCAATAATGAGAGGCGATAGCTTTCACAAGCTCGTGCCACTTTCTTTTCTAGTGTCAATCCGGGAGGAGGGAGGGGATGGAAATCCATGTAAGAGCTCATTCTTCCAAGGGTCTCATGGCTTGCCTCTTCGACCTCCTATTTCTCTTCTTCAAATGGCAGAAGGCGATTGGGAGCAAGTTGTGCACATGCTTGCTCAATAAGCTCTCCTTGCCCCTTCGTGCATCGACGGAGCTCCTCCGCCTCCCGAAGAAAGGTTGAGTCGATAGGGTCGGCGATGGGAAGGTCCAAATTGGAGCATCCCTCGTCGGTACCCCGGGAAAATTTCTCCACCATTAGCTCCCAGTTTCTCTTTGGCTTCGGTTGTGGAGTGGCACATGGTCTTGATGATTGTCCCATGAAGGCTTTCATGGCCAACTCCAACTTGGATTTCTCCTCGGATTGTGGAGGAAAATCTTCTTGATATGGGGAAGCCTCTTCATATCCCCAATTAGGGCTGGAAGTTTGATACCAGTATTTGGGATATACCGAATACCGTACCGAATTTGTCTATATTTGGTATAACCGAATACACGTATTATTTTGTGGGATTGGGATTGAATTTCAATTTTTTTCGGTATTAGGATTACAAGATTGGGATCAGTATATACTGAAATATCGATCAATACCGAAATATAAGCTAGTGTGTATTTATCCTCTCAACTAGACTCTCTCATCACTACTACGCGACCCTCAACCACCAAAAGTGTCATTTATTTATACATAGATCATTACATCACTATTTCACACTAGAATTAGTCGTCTCTCAACCTCAAATTCGTCAAATTAAAGATTAACAATTACCAGAACTTGAGATGTTAGCTCTAGGCAACTCAAGACTATTTGCTTAGTCTCTTTGCCCTAAATAAAACAATAAAATCTAATTTATATATTTAATTATTAATTGCAAAGGTAATTAATTATGTATTCGATAATACCGATTGGGATACCGAGGTAGCGATTGGGATACTGAAATTATTTAGGGATTGAGATTGGGATACCAGAATTATTTAGGGATTGGGATTGCTTTTAGGATGTAATTGGGTATTCGGGATTTTGGTATTTAGTATTGGAATACCGATATCGTACCGATTTCCACCCCTATCCCCAAGGGTATGGTTGTTCTTCTTGGAAGGGGGTTGTTAATAGAACCCGGATCCTTGGCTTCCCCCTTTTTGTTCGGTCCATGAAGCTCTGGGGTACCCCCATCCGGGTGGTTGTAGATACACCCACATATTGTTGAACCCATTGGGATCCATGATTCATAACCTACACAAACAAAAACCCAAAACCAAATCACCCAAACACAAACCAATACTATCCTTCTAAGAGAAGAGTGGGTAAACAAAACACAACACAAAACACAAACAAAAAGGCAAGATAGAAAATGCTACAGTAACACTAATAGCCCTTTTCAAAATAATGGACAGCGGTTCCCTGGCAACGGAGCCAAAATCTTGACTTGCACGAAACTACACTACGAATTAATCCCGACTAGAGCCCAAAATTTTAAACTCTAGGCGGGTGCAGTATAGGGCAAGTATTTAATTGTCAAACCCGGGCATGTCCATGTACCCCTATTTCAACCACTTGAGTTGTTATCTGGCTAAACAGTTTTGGGTTTAAAACTAAAAAAACTACAAACTAAACAAGCAAGGAAAGTAAATGGAGGAGAATTCTACTTGAGGGGACTTTACCTAGGTATTGCTCCCCCTAGTCTCATGCTAAGAAGTGACAAACAAAGCTCTAGCGTGAAGTAAGTGTTCATACACTGCAAGGTGGGCGCAACTAGCTAGGAACAAACTCTCTTAGTCGATCAATGAAGGAAAATCAACCACTATAAGCTAGGGGAACTAGCTCTCTTAATCGTTAGGTCAAGGATTGTGATTCATAGCTAGGGAACCTAGCCCTCCTCACCAATCAACCAAGGAGATCCCTATCTTTGTTAGCTAATTGAGAATCGTTGCAACAAGTTAGAAAGCTTACTCTCTTAACCTTTCGGCTAAGGGTGACAACGATAAGATGGGAAACCCAACCCTCTCAACTAGCCGACTAAGGATTGCAACCCAAACCCTCGGAACTTAAACCGGTCGGCGAAGAGACCAATCTTGGTGGAATCACGACCCTACTCCAACACTTGAGATTTTGGTCTTAAATCGACCTAAAGGGGGTTACCTAAGCGGCTAAGAAGTCTAGCTTCCTATTAGACCAAAAGGGGATTTCCACCCTCTAGGTCAATTTTACATGATATTGAGTTAAAGCTAGCATACTCAATTATTCATAAATAATACCTCAAATATCATATAAAACACTTAATCAACACAATATGTTCATGTTCTTCCATCCTAACAGATAAAGAGACTAGGATTCAATACCCAAGTGAATAGGTAGGCTATTCCATAGCTAAGCAAGAGAAAACAACAAAAGGGGAAGAAAGAACCATGAAGTGATGCCAATCTTTCCTCCTTGTTGCTTGAGACACCCTTGAGATGAAGAAATCTTCAATCCTCTAGCTAGGAACAAGACCAAAGCTCCTTCTTCCTCCTTTGATTTGTACTTTCTCACTCTAGAAGAAACCCTAACTTGTCACTAGAATCCTCTTTATTCCGAAAATGAAAACCTAACCTAAAAATGAAGCTCCTCCTTTCTCTTTCAGCTCCCTTCTCCTTTTATACCCAGATCAGGCACTGTTCAAGGGCTTAGACCTCAGTTCAAGGACGCGTTGATCAGTTCATGGCCGCGTTGATCAGTTCACGACCGTGAACATCAAAACACATATGTAAACACAAAGTCTGGACCAAAACGCACCGCTTCGCTGGCTCGGGTTCACGATCTGTGGCCTACGTTCACGGTCTTAGCGACTGTGAACAGCCTAACCGTCAGTAACCTGAAAACCCTCTATGGTCACTCCTTGTTTAACAAGTTCTGGCTCCAGTTCCTGGCGATCGTGAAAATTGCGTCCAAATAGTGACTTTGGACTTTTCTTCGGTTTTTCGCACTTTTTGACCTCCAATCATCCTGAAATTTGTCATCGACCCTTCCACACGTGCTAGGACTTGAAATATATCAAAACAAGCACAACCTAGTGTGAAATATGTCGAGGAATGATGAAATGCAAAGTCAAACTATCAAGAAAGGAGGGGCAAAATGTGTACAATTGGACCCGAATTAGCAAACTTAGCACATCCTAGGATTTTTTTATCTCTTGAATGAACTACACATCATGGAATGCAATCACTTGGTGAGATTGTGTTCACCTTTATTATTATCAACAATATGCTAATGGAAGATCAATGGTACGTGCATGAGGATAGGCCAATGGAGAACATGGAATATGAGATTAATCCACATATTAGATGAGATTCACCCGACCATAATATTTCCTACTCTCATGGAGTATATGGCTAGACACAGTAGGATTCGTGACCGTCCAAGACATCACGCATTGAGAAACAATTTGATTGATCATTTGTGAACAAAATATGGAGGAGAGTAGAAATGTGATGTATTTTCAATGTTATATTAATGTATGTCTTGATGTATTCCTTTACTGTTTGTATTTCTCATGTTTTGTTGATGTATTTCCCACACTGTATTAATGCATTTATGTCATGTTGTAGTGTTTCTACTAAAGAAAATACTTGCATTACTATTTGAAGAATTACAATCGAAATAAAGTGTACACTCGGCCAAAATTTGAATTAAATAAAAACAATTCACTCAAAATAAAAGCAATCCACTTAAAATATTTCATATTGGTGGCATAGAAAAGTCATCATTTGGGATATAATAAGTGTATCCGCCTGGAGCATCTTGGTACAAAGCCACAATCTCATCATTTTGCCTATGATACCAAACTCTAGTTTGAGCACTCAATTGAGAAATATCCATATTCGTTATCTTTGTCTCATACATGTTCTTCTCCCTTGATTCTCTCTCTCTAACTCTTGCTCCTCTAGCAACTTCATTTCATCTTTAACTAGTGCCGACTTTACGTGCATGTTTGAATTATCCACCATATTGATCATACTCTTGTCCCAACCTTTTGCGGGAAAATATGGAGTTCCTTTTTTCTTCTTCTTTTATTTTTCCTAACCTTCGAGATAGTTCACCATGAAAGGAGTCGCATGAACATGAGGGTATCTATCACTTTCGTCGAATAGCTGGACCGATGGGCAATGAATAACCGTCCATTGGTAGAATGGGTTATACGGGGCAACAAATTGTTGCATAAAATTTGGAGAATTCTAGAGTATATCCAAAGAATGTTTTAACTTGAAATGCTTTCCAGTGGCTGCTATGAAAACTGTTTTCCCTCGTTCACCCTAGATAATTAAATCGTGTATATTAATGAGTATAAACTACACAATTAATTAAGAAATTAAACACATGATAATAATTATTAGAACATAACTAATCACATCACTTAGGTTCTCTCCGCTCATTGTTGTCGCACTTGCTCTCCTTGATGTCGCATTACACGACCCACATTGATGGAGAATGGTCTTCTACCGAGATATTACTGCCCCATCAGTACGAGAAATTCATCATCCTTTAGAAGCATATACGACTCCAACTTGCCTCCAAAATTCAGGCCCATATTGAAAATGGCCGTCGGAACCATACTTTGAAATTCCAAACCAAGCCTTGCACAAAACTTCATCATCAGACTCCATCCATTTTCGAGGGCAATTAGTTTGAGACATGATCGGGAGTATGGGAAGAAGAGACATTTTTTATTTGATGGGAAGAATATGGAATTTCCTTGTGATGAGAATGAGAGAAAAAATTGAAAGTGAAGAAGTATGATGTATTTCTAGAGAATATGGAGACTAATAATATTATGTATTCAGGACAACACCTGATTTTCCAACTTTTTGGTATTTAGCATTTTGGGGACTGTTAATAGAGTTAAGATTTTCCAACTTTTACTATTTCGAGACCGTTGTTGGAAATGGTCTAACACACGAGGTCCACAAATTGATATGAACAGTAGTAGCATTGGCACCGATATCATCATTCACCAACACGAAGTAATGGAACTTCAAGGTGGGCCCGTTGCTTAAGTTTATAGAACCTGCACTTATCGAAACATGGCCAATAATCGATCAGGAGTTGGCCAACGTCGAACCCAATCAGGACTTGAAATGCTGGGATGGATGCCGTGAAGAAGAAAAGATAGCGTGCTTTTTAGATCATCAATTGAGATGTAAACTTAGAGTTAATGTACGGGGTAGTAATTAATCGAATCTTTGGACTGAATAGGACGGTAACACAAACATAATTAAACCTTCTAACAAAAAAATAGAGGCATTTATGGCAGCTTAACCAAACTACAACTACTACTCACCACATCGAGAAATCGCCAAAGGTACCATAAACTCGAAAATGATTGGTTTAGCTTGCACCCATGATTCGAGCTCAATTACACATATTTTAGTCCTCATTTCTTGATTGTTTGACTTCGTTATCATCGTCCCTCAATCTATTTTACGCTAGGTTATGCTTCTTTTGTCACATTTAAGGTCCTAGTATATGTGGGAAGGTGCAGGACGAGTTTCGGGTCATTCAGAGGTCAAAACGAGCAAAAAAGTGAAGGTTGAGCACTGTTCACGGGCTGGAGGCAAATGTCACGCCCTTAGACCGTGAAAATCACCCCCAGGGAGTGAAGAGCAAGACTTCAAGGGCAGGACTCATTTACCCCATACCGTGAAGTGACCAATTTCCAGTGTGGTTTGCCGTCTCACTTGAGTCCAACTAGTTCACCATTGGTAAGACCGTGAATGCAAGCCCAAGACCGTGAAGTGGCCCAAAATGTTGCACTATTTTTCGAGATCAAGGTCAAGCCTCCCAGTTCACGGCGGTGAACAGTAACCGTGATATCGACACTTTCGGGCTGTATAAAAGACAGTAGCAAGGAGAGAGAAAGGGGAGTTGGTTTTTGGAGAGGAATTAGTTTCATCTCCAGGGTTTCAATCCAAACACCAAAGGAGAGAGAGAGAGAGAGAGAGAGAGAGAGATTTCTTGACTGATCTTGGAGTTTAATTGAAGGCATTGATTAAGTTTGAAAGCAAGGAATCAAGCGTACAAGAAGAAGAAGATCATCTTGTGCTTTGTTTGTAATCTCTCTCTTCTCTCTCTAGAAACCCACCCTCTTCTCTTGGATTTAAAAACCCTAGGTCTAGATTTTGTTTTATTGTTGATGTATGTGACAAATTCCATGTTTGATTGACGATTTTACTTAATTGATGGATGTTTTTAGGGATTGCATGAGTTTGGTTTCCATTTTCATGTATGAGCTTTTGACCTAGGAGGGATCCCTGAGGGAGTCGATTCCATCAATCTCCTACTATATAGGATTGCCCTTCGTTGAATAGAGCACGCCCTATTCATCGATTCAGCATTCCGAGTCATTCCCGAGGGAGTCCGTCTCCTAACGATTGAGCTTTGAGTCGATCGAGCTACGAGGATACCCAACATCGATCCAAAGGACAGACCTAGGATGATTCAACCCAAGAGAGATCCAAACCATGTAAATAGCTATGTTAGTGGTTAGTTTAGGTTGGTTAGTTTAGTTTTATTAATCACTATCCTAGGTTGGCTAGATAACGAACCCTAAACCAAAGTAGGGTAAGCCTAGATCCTCGTGGTACGATATTTTATTATTGCTTGCTTGCCCTATGCTACACCCGGTCGTCGGTTATACTTGGCATTCGATCGGGATGTTGTAGTTGGAATGAGTCAAGTTTTTGGCGTTGTTGCCGGGGAACACATTCTAGGTTATTTGAAAAAGGCTTAGGTCGTTACTTTAGTCGTTTTGTGTTTTGTTTATCCACTCTTCACTTGAAGGGTGGTTTGTGGTTGTTTGATTTTCTCTTTGTACTTTTGTCATTGTAGGTTGAATCATGGAACCTAATGGCTTCTTGACTCACTTCTACTGTCACTCCAGGAATTGGCCAAGTGAACCACTTCCTAAAGCGTAGTATAGCGGGCTTGGGTTTAAATGTCAACCCGGGTCCTAGATTTGATGACTACTCGGTGAATTCTTGTTATCTAGCAATGAAACTTTAATGCAAGTCTAAACTAACAAACTAACAAAGCAAGTAAACTGTTGTATTCAGGTTAAGAGAGGTCACCCGGATATGGTTCCCCCTAGACTGCAGTTAAGCCGGATTGTAATTACCAAGTTCAGTTTCTATGATAGTTATACTGCGGAAGGTTCTTAAACAGCCTGAAGTCTCGACTAAAGGTCTTCAGACCCTCTCAATCTGAGTCTCTAGCGGGCGACTAACCTCCACCGGAGTAAACAGATTGAGGCCCTATGAACAAAACCTCCACTACCGAAGTAAATCCGGTACAGAATAGTGAGTTGGCTCCTCGACTAAAGTCACTCAACTCCCTACCTTCAATCAAGGATGCTCTATCAACCTAGGCAGATATTCTCATTCTAGGTTAAAGCAGAAACAACAGGAATTTGATCAGGATTCAAGTCATTCAATCATTCAAACCTCAATCGAATATAAACAAATCATAGAATCAGTACTTGGGTTCATAAAATCAAACCTAACATACAAATCTAGGGTTCTCCATACCCATATGAATGGGAGAACTACTCCATGGAGAAAGAAGCAAAAGCAGAATCAGACGCGGAATTCATACTGTGAAGGATGGATTCCAGCTCCTAGACGTTGATCGGCACTTCTCCAAGCTCAAACTGGCCTCCAATGGTGATGAAGATCAAGCTAGGGCACTTGGAGACTCTTGTTCGTCGCTTTCTCTCTCTAGGAATCGCTCTATCTCTCTAAAACTCGAATCCCCCTCTGTTTTGGCTAAAATCGGCTTAAAAGGGCATCAGTGGCCAAAGCACGGTCGAGGGCACGGCCGTGCTTTGCCTCAGCCCGCCCGTGCTTTGGCTAGGGTTAATTACACGGCCAGTGCGTTGGGGGAAACACGGGCGTGTTTGATGATGGACACGGCCGTGCTTGTGGTGGCCACGGCCGTGCTTTGTCTAAGCCCTGCCCGTGTTTTTAGCCAATGTTTGCCAAACTCGAATTTTCTCTCGGCAGTAAAAGCACGGCCACAAAACACGGCCGTGTTCTGTTTTAGGTGTGCCCGTGTTTTGGCTCCAGCTCGACGAAATGACTTCCGAATGCCCCGAAACTCGTGCTTAGCCTTTCCTTTGACGCCTGGGACCTGTAATATGACAAAATAGCACAACCCGGCGTAAGATAGGCCAAAAATACACGACTATGCCCCTCAAACGGATAAGAACTAGGGGCGCAAATATGTGCAATTACATCGTTATCAAATTCCCCCACACTTAACCATTTGCTTGTCCCTAAGCAAACCAAGTCAGACACAAGGGAAGCTCAAAACAGGGCATGTCATATCGGCACAAAACACGTGGATCATACTGGCTTTCGATCAGTAACACATGGACAACTTCAATGACAACCTAGACAATCACCACAGATGACATTCGAATGCAGTAAAATCGAGCAAAGGAAGAGTCTCCCTTCTGTTCACCCACCAACATAGACTTGACTCAACCACTTGTTCAAAACAGTCACGTCATGCACAAAGTTCAAGATATCAGAATTAAGACCGAGCAATCTAGGTCCTCACCAGGATAAAGAGTATAGAGAATAAGAGAAAATGAATCGCTCACTCTCGACCAGTGGGGTCAGGACAATATGATGCGAAAAATGCGCATGCTTAATCTCTCAATCCCTAACATCTCTTCATCATGAATGCAGCCTCTAGGTGCTAGAGTTCACATATGGGGTGTCATCACTAACTAATCCGGAGGTCTTAGACACAGGTTCAGATAACTGGCTAGGGTCTTGGACATGGGGAAAAGGCCTTTTAGGTGGTGGAAGTATTCATACAGCACAAGGTTCCACATTTCCAAACCCAACAGACTCACAATCAATCAAACCAATAACTTTCTTTCTGCTATTCTGCATTACTCAAGTTCAAAGCACAAGAGCGAAGGAGGTTACATAAATGCTAGTATTTCTAAGCCATACTGCTAAGAACACTACTACATGGGCATTATTCAGATTTTTGGTGGTGGCTCTCTTTTGCTTCCATTTTTTTCTTTGTTTTTCTTTCATTATTTTTCATTTCATAAGAGAACCACCGCCTCTCCACATTTTCAAACACCTGCCCAACTTTTAAGCACTACCTCCAACCCTCACATTACATTTAGCAGAAACAGCAGAGAACATGTAAAAATCACTCTGTGGAACCTTCTAAAAGATGCAAAAGGGTGAATTTTCATTGAAGACCGAAAGAAAGAAAACACATGGCTCAAAGGGGCTGACTAGGGGTATGACACACCAGGACAGTCAATTTGGTCGTGGGCTAATCCTATGCCTCCATCATCTTAGCTAATGGCGACCTGAATGCTGCACATCGTGGAAGAGGAAACTATCGCGCAAGAAAGAAACGAGCAGGCTCAAATCTCACATGGCTACCTATATGCTCTATCTCTCGTCCCAAGAGGTGATGGACAATGGGGGCTGGGTCTCCAACCACCGCTTAGCATTCCCCGCCAGAGAATGGGGGAAGAGATGAAGGCGGATCGCATCATCAGGAACACCGTTCAGCTTGAACCCGTTTGTCAGCTGCAGAAAACGGGACAGATGCACCCTGGCCTCCTCATCCTTCAAGCCATGGAACTGGATAGAGGATGTGATGAGCTGAATCCAGCATGGCTTGATCTCGAAGTTGTTTGCTGGAATAGGCGGGTAGAGGATGACCGGGCGGATGTCAGCAATCCGAGGAGTGTAGTAGTATTCCTAGGTGGGACCCGGCTGCGGTGGATGATGAACTCCATGATCCTGGGGTATGGGGTTGTTCCCCAGGACCTGATTCACCGGGGGAACCTGCTGAGGATTCCCCTGGTGCTGATTGTAGTCTCCGTCCATCCCGTACTCTTCTTCAGAATCGCTACTCAGGTGGCCGTCTATGCGCTCTTCCGTAGCCAGTCTAGCTCGCTGTTGTCTCCTGAGCTGGCGACAGGTGCGATCAATCTCTGGATTCAACGGCAGTAAACCTCCTGACTGGCTACGGGTCATGCACTACCTGCACACACTCAAGCAAGCAAACCCGTGAAGGCACAAGTGGGACAAAGCAAACAAAGCAAAAAGAAAAGCAAAATTAACATAAATCACTTTTCTCCAACAACCTAGCCGTCCCCGGCAACGGCGCCAAAAACTTGACTCACTTCTACTGTCACCCTAGGAATTGGCCAAGTGAAACCACTTCCTAAAGCGTAGTATAGCGGGTTTAGGTTTAAATGTCAACCCGGGTCCTAGATTTGATGACTACTCAGTGAATTCTTGTTATCTAGCAATGAAACTGGAATGCAAGTCTAAACTAACAAAGTAACAAAGCAAGTAAACTGTTGTATTCAGGTTAAGAGAGGTCACCCAGATATGGTTCCCCCTAGACTACAGTTAAGCCGGATTGTAATTACCAAGTTCAGTTTCTATGATAGTTATACTGCGGAAGGTTCTTAAACAGCCTGAAGTCTCGACTAAAGGTCTTCAGACCCTCTCAATCTGAGTCTCTAGCGGGCGACTAACCTCCAACGGAGTAAACAGATTGAGGCTTTAACAAACAAAACCTCCACTACCGGAGTAAATCCGGTACAGTCTAGTGAGTTGGCTCCTCGACTAAAGTCACCAACTCCCTACCTTCAATCAAGGATGCTCTATCAACCTAGGCAGATATTCTCATTCTAGGTTAAAGCAGAAACAACAGGAATTTGATCAGGATTCAAGTCATTCAATCATTAATCCTCAATCGAATATAATCAATCATAGAATCAGTAGTTGGGTTCATACAATCTAAGCCTAACATACAAATCTAGGGTTCTCCATACCCAGATGAATGGGAGAATTACTCCATGGTGAAAGAAGCAAAAGCAGAATCAGACATGGAATTCATACTGTGAAGGATGGATTCCTGCTCCTGGACGTTGATCGGCACTTCTCCAAGCTCAAACTGGAGACTCTTGTTCGTCGCTTTCTCTCTCTAGGAACTGATCTCTCTCTCTAAAACTCGAATCCCCTCGACTTGTGGCTGAAAATCTGCTTAAAAGCAGAAAATCCCGACTCACACGGCCAGGGTGGCACGGCCGTGTGGCTTACCTAGTTGCCCGTGTTAGTCAAAACGCTGCGTTCCAATTAGTTCGATCTTCAGGCTTCTTACACGGCCAGGGTCGCACGGCCGTGTGAGATTTCCATCTGCCCGTGTTTGCTCTCGGCGAAACTCGCACGGCCAAACCACTCCTTCACACGGCCGTGTGAACATCAGGGCAAGCCGTGTTTGCTCTCGCACAATCTCACACGGCCAAAGTGGTCACTTGCACGGCCGTGTGAGTTGTGGGTGTGCCCGTGTGACTTCCTTTGTGACTTGTCTCGCGCCCGATCTTCGTCCAATCGACCCCGAACTCACTCCTAAACCTTCATTCACTTGCCAGGACCTGAAATATCACAAACAAGCACAACCTAGCGTGAAATCGGTCTAAAACACGAGAAACCACATCTCAAACGGTGTAAGAACAGGGGTGAAAACATGTGTAATTAACGGTCTATCAAACTCCCCCCACACTTAACAGTTTGCTTGTCCCCAAGCAAACCTAACTCAAACCAATGCAACTCTCCAGACCTCTATAGCAACAAACAACCCAGATCGTAGGTAGAGGACTTCCTTGATCATTTAGCAGCTTACGAGGTCAACCGACGCACAAGTCATCTCATAGCTTCATCGGCGAAAGCACTAGTATCGAGTCGGCATCATGGCAAACAGTGAACAGAGGACAAATGAATTGTGGATGAAGAGATTCTCGAAAACAAAGGATCATGGACTCACATTTTTCAAGGTGCTTTATTTTCTTCTTGAAGATGGTTGGAACCCCTTTTCTTTTTGTTTTGCTTGTTTTCTGTTATTTTTTCTTTTCTTTTTTTCCAAGGGTCCCAACCTGCTCTTACCGGCCATTCCAGGAGCGGATGTCTCGAGCCTCGTGCGGGGGAAAGACATGTAAGGGGCTGGAGGTAGTAGGTGGAAATTGGGAACGGATTCCCGTCTACCCTTACACACTTTTGCCCTATTCGCACGGGAGACGTTATTTTGAAGCACATTTTCGAGCACCTGTTAAACTCAAAACATGATACAAGAGTCCATGACAGGTAGAGAATCCACAACACCACACCATTCAAGCGTCCTAAGATCACTAATTCACTCAATCAACCAACACAATATGAAGAAGAAATGAGACTTCTTAAATGCATCAACATCCTCCATAGTGCTACACTACCTCCCTAGGTTGCATATTACTATAAAGACTGTCAATTCAAAGCATACTGAGCAGGCAATTGCAAGGAACACGTACTTGGAGCCCTCAAATTTAAAAATTTGGACAGTGGACTAGGCTCCAAGCACACAAATAGATCTAATGCAGTCACAAGATAAACATCCCCCCACACTTAAGATCGACATTGCCCTCAATGGAGAAGAGGGAAGGAGAAGGGGAACGATGTTACCGATATGCAAGGACTGCAGGGGACTGGAAGCGGACCAGTCGGAGTGAAGGGGACTGGAGAGAGGACCAGTCAAGACAAAGCACAGCTAAAGGGGAACAGAAGAGCTCAAACACAATATGTTAGGTCCAATGTCAGCCCAATAAGACATTATCCAAAACAAAAGAAAACAAACCAAAACCAAATTGGTTTACAATCCGACTCAAAACGCAAGAAAGAAAGTCAAACCGCGGTGGGGTTGCCTCCCCACCAGCGCTTCTTTACCGTCTTTTAGCTGGACGCCCATGGTGGATACTCAGGGAGGTGCAGGAACAGGTGCCTCTAAGAGTGGATCCACGTCGCTCTTGAGGTACAGCTTAAGGTTGTGGCCATGCACCCGATGGATGCGACCACCATCATCGGTCAGCTCGACCTAGCCATCCGGCAAGATGCAGGCGAGTGAGTACCCGGACGGCCAGGGTGGTCGTGGTGCAGGCGGTGGGACCAGCTCATAGTGGTCTCCACTCTTCTTCCGTGCAGGTTTAGCAACCTGCTGCTTTGGCCGCCACTCCTCCTTGAGCTTTTTGGTCGGAGGCGAGGCTGGATGGAGTGGCGGCGAAGGAATGACAGGAGGGTCCTGCAAAATAAGAGGTGCAGAAGGATACACGACAGGCTCGTGTACCTGATCAGAAATGGCATGCACAGGTGTGACAGCAATCATAGCACAGTGATCAAAGTCAGTCACAGAGAAGGTAGTCTGTTCATTCCCAGCACGCAAGATCAGTTTACCATCATGCACATCAATAAGTGCCTTGGCGGTGGCAATAAATGGTCTACCCAGAATCAATGGCACATCCACATCCTCATGTATATCAAGAATAACAAAATCAACAGGATATGTGAATGCACCTACTTTAACAAGCAGATCCTCTATGATCCCCCTAGGATGCACAATGGAACGATCAGCTAGCTGAATGCTCATCCTAGGAGGGCTAAGTTCACCTAGGTCTAGCTTTTTATCAGGGTTATAAAAGGCGTATTTAGGCGTTCTCTTAATTGTGATTAAGCGTTAGGCGGACTTATAACGCTGCGCTTTTCCATTAGGCGGTGTAGAAGGCGCTGTATATGTGCAAGGCTTTGAGAGGTTTGATAATGGGGCTTTATGTTCACAAGGTTATTTAATTAATTGTATATAAACTATACATACGCAAATTGCAGCCAAATTCGTGCAAGGAGAAGTGGAGAGCTAAGAAACTATAATCATATACCTACGTAAGCCAACTAACTAACCGATAATTATCATTATAGATTAATTATTTTTTTTGTAGGATTATGCTTAATTACGTAAGTGTTTTGCTTTTATTATTGCATGCACGGTTACTTAAATATATTACCGTATTAATACGAGTTGTATACGTTATAATGACATAACATTTAAGTTTAAAAATTTCACCATTGATAACAAAATATAAAGTATTTATAATATAAAATGATGAAATCATCAATTAAATTCCCTTAAATACCTATAATTAATGTGTCATACTGATATATGTTGAAACTTCTAACATATGAGATGGTTAAATGTTAGTTGATTCATCATATTGTTTTTTTAAGTGTTAATTATGTTATTATTTATTTGAACCGAAGTGAAAAGTGTTGCAAAACATCTATTTCATTCAACATTTAATAAAATTGACTATTTTTGCTTACAACGCTTAAACGCGCCTAGGCAACGCTTAGGCAAGCTAGGCACTAGGCGAGGTCCCAACGCCCGCCTTACGCCTAGCGCCTTCTTGAACCTTGCTTTTTATATAACTTATATGGCATGACATTTATGCTAGCGCCTAGGTCCGCCAAGGACTTGCCTACATGCATGCTGCCAATAGTAAGAGGGATAGTAAAACTCCCTGGGTCTTTTTGCTTCTCGGGCAGCTTGTTCTGCAGGATAGCAGAACACTCCTCACTGAGCATCACTGTCGAAAGATCCCCAAGTTTCTTCTTGTCGGTGAGGAGGTCTTTCATGAACTTGGCATACTTGGGCATCTTCGACAGTGCCTCCACGAACGGTATGCTGATGTTGAGCTGCTTCAACATTGCCATAAACTTGGCAAACTCAGTCTCCAGCTTGTCTTTGTGTAGGCGAGTGGGGAAGGGAAGCTGGGGCACATGCTCCTTAACCACTGGTTGTGGCTTGGGAGCAGGGGCTTCCTTCTCCACCCGCACTTCTGCATCGTCGGCTGGAAGTGCTGAAGCAGGTAGTGGTTCCTCCTGTCTGGCCGGAACAGGATCAGCAGATATGGTCTTACCGCTCCTGGTAAAAATGGCATCCAGCTGCTGGAGCTGGTGAGGATCCCGAGGATTCGAGATAGTGGTGGCAGGCAGAGTCCCCGGTGCCCTGGTAGTGTTTTGGCGGGCCAAGATGCCCACCTGGGTCTGCAGATCTTGCAAAATGGCACCCTGGTTCCTCTGACCTGCCTCCGGTGACGTGATAGCAGCCTGAGTGCTAGTCATGAATGAAGCTAGAATATTTTCCAGCTTTGTCATCCGGTCATCTGGGGCAGGGGCTGCTGCTGGCTCGACAAACTGACGTTGGGGCTGTTGGAATGGTTGCCCCTGCCTAGGCTGGTAGGGCTGCTGCTGTGGGGCTGGCCCCTGTCGAGCCTGGAAGGGCTGCCTCTACTGAAAACCACCTGCTGGTGCTGGGAAACCAGGTGGTTTAGTGGTGTTGCTGCTCCAGGCGAAGTTGGGATGCTGGCGCCACCCCTCATTATATGTGTTGCTGTACGGGTCGAGTCGCCGAGCATTGGCGATGAAGTCCAACTGCTCTTGGGGAGTGGTAGACTCCCTCATAGCCTGGCAATCCTCCACTAGGTGATTAGAGCTCTGGCACCACTGACATTGAGCTACTGGAGGTGTAGCCAAACCTCTGCCCGGAATAAGACTGTTGGGCTGCTTCAATGTCTGCACTAGCTTAGCTACCTGCTGCTCGAGCCCGGATCTGGTCTCCATGACGTGCACACCACGGTCCCGAGAATGTCTGCCTCTGCTGCTCTGTCCCCAAGAATGATCTCTGGCAGCCAAGGTATTGATCATCTGGTTCATCTCGGGTGGAGTCTTAGTAAGAATATCCCCTCCTGGGCATAGAGACTCAATCACCCTCTGGCTGTCTGGAGAGAGAGCACTGTAGAAGTTCCCCACTGTGAATGCATCACTAAAGCCATGATGGGGACACTGCCAGAAATATCCCATGTACCGCTCCCATGCATCACGAAGTGACTCATCTGGCTCTTCGCGGAAGTGAGTGATCTCCCGCTGGATCTCTGTAGTCTTCGATGCCGGATAGTACCTGTGCACGAACTTGTCAGCCAGATCGTCCCAAGAGGTGATGGACAATGGGGGCTGGGTCTCCAACCACCTCTTAGCATTCCCCGCCAGAGAATGGGGGAAGAGATGAAGGCGGATCGCATCATCAGGAACACCGTTCAGCTTGAACCCGTTTGTCAGCTGCAGAAAACGGGAAAGATGCACCCTGGCCTCCTCATCCTTCAAGCCATGGAACTGGATAGAGGATGTGATGAGCTGAATCCAGCATGGCTTGATCTCGAAGTTGTTTGCTGGAATAGGCGGGTAGAGGATGACCCGGCGGATGTCAGCAATCCGAGGAGTGTAGTAGTACTCCAAGGTGGGACCCGGCTGCGGTGGATGATGAACTCCATGATCCTGGGGTATGGGGTTGTTCCCCAGGACCTGATTCACCGAGGGAACCTGCTGAGGATTCCCCTGGTGCTGATTGTAGTCTCCGTCCATCCCGTACTCTTCTTCAGAATCGCTACTCAGGTGGCCGTCTATGCGCTCTTCTGTAGCCAGTCTAGCTCGCTGTTGTCTCCTGAGCTGGCGACAGGTGCGATCAATCTCTGGATTCAACGGCAGTAAACCTCCTGACTGGCTACGGATCATGCACTACCTGCACACACTCAAGCAAGCAAACCCGTCAAGGCACAAGTGGGACAAAGCAAACAAAGCAAAAAGAAAAGCTAAATTAACATAAATCACTTTTCTTCAACAACCTAGCCGTCCCCGGCAACGGCGCCAAAAACTTGACCCACTTCTACTGTCACCCTAGGAATTGGCCAAGTGAAACCACTTCCTAAAGCGTAGTATAGCGGGTTTAGGTTTAAATGTCAACCTGGGTCCTAGATTTGATGACTACTCAGTGAATTCTTGTTATCTAGCAATGAAACTGGAATGCAAGTCTAAACTAACAAAGTAACAAAGCAAGTAAACTGTTGTATTCAGGTTAAGAGAGGTCACCCAGATATGGTTCCCCCTAGACTACAGTTAAGCCGGATTGTAATTACCAAGTTCAGTTTCTCTGATAGTTATACTGCGGAAGGTTCTTAAACAGCCTGAAGTCTCGACGAAAGGTCTTCAGACCCTCTCAATCTGAGTCTCTAGCGGGCGACTAACCTCTACCGGAGTAAACAGATTGAGGCCTTAACAAACAAAACCTTCACTACCGGAGTAAATCCGGTACAGAATAGTGAGTTGGCTCCTCGACTAAAGTCACCAACTCCCTACCTTCAATCAAGGATGCTCTATCAACCTAGGCAGATATTCTCATTCTAGGTTAAAGCAGAAACAACAGGAATTTGATCAGGATTCAAGTCATTCAATCATTCAAACCTCAATTGAATATAATCAATCATAGAATCAATACTTGGGTTCATACAATCAAAGCCTAACATACAAATCTTGGGTTCTCCATACCCAGATGAATGGGAGAATTACTCCATGGAGAAAGAAGCAAAAGTAGAATCAGACGCGGAATTCATACTGTGAAGGATGGATTCCTGCTCCTGGACGTTGATCGGCACTCCTCCAAGCTCAAACTGGCCTCCAATGGTGTTGAAGATCAAGCTAGGGCACTTGGAGACTCTTGTTCGTCGCTTTCTCTCTCTAGGAACTGATATCTCTCTCTGAAACTCGAATCCCCTCGACTTGTGGCTGAAAATCTGCTTAAAAGCAAAAAATCCCGACTCACACGGCCAGGGTGGCACGGCCGTGTGACTTACCCAGTTGCCCGTGTGAGTCAAAACGCTGCGTTCCAATTAGTTCGACCTTCAGGCTTCTCACACGGCCAGGGTCGCACGGCCGTGTGAGATTTCCATCTGCCCGTGTTTGCTCTCGGCGAAACTCGCACGGCTAAACCACTCCTTCACACGGCCGTGTGAACATCAGGGCAAGTCGTGTTTGCTCTCGCACAATCTCACACGGCCAAAGTGGTCACTTGCACGGCCGTGTGAGTTGTGGGTGTGCCCGTGTGACCTCCTTTGTGACTTGTCTCGCGCCCGATTTTCGCCTAATCGACCCCGAACTCGCTCCTAAACCTTCATTCACTTTCCAGGACCTGAAATATCACAAACAAGCACAACCTAGCGTGAAATCGGTCTAAAACACGAGAAACCACATCTCAAACGGTGTAAGAACAGGGGTGAAAACATGTGTAATTAACGGTCTATCACCCGACATGAGACGACGCCCTCGATCCCGCTCACGATCAATGCGGGTGTGGATGCGCTCCTGGCCGGCCAGGATGCGCTCATTCTGCTGCGCGATCGCCGCTAACTGGTCGGAGAGGACACCACCACTGGAGGAGGTGACCCTGGAGAAGGAGACCGGGGAGCAGGAGAGGGGCTCGCGGGAGCCTGGGCACGACTGGGAACGCGACGGGGAACTCGACGCCCACCAGCAACGCTCGACTCGGCCTGGTCGCCCTCTGCAGGTATAGGTGGCTGAGGAAGGCCCGTGATCCAGCGCACACGCCCGTGGCGAGCAACCAAGTGCTGGTGGCGGAGAGTAGCCTCGCCGAGTGGGGTTGGTCCGCGGACCAATGTCATTCCGGTGTAGTCCACCCCGTAGTTGCGGGCCAAGGCGGTGATCACCGGGCCACAAACGAGGCTGCGAGTCATGCTGATGGCTGCTTTAGTGAACGTCCGGGCAAGCACAGAACCCAGCTGGATGGTGTCCTCAGAACGACCCATCGCATGCATCAACCAGAGAGTCCGGAGTGTGACCCGGTTGGACGAGCCCTTGCTAGGTGTGTAGGAAGTGCACATCAGGTGGTTGAGGATCCGCCATTCCGGACGGAGGAGAGCAGCCCGCATCTGGCTGGCCACGTACTCTTCATCCACACTGTCCGGCAGGCAAATGCTCTGAAAGTACGCCTGGCAAGCAAAGTCGGTGGGATCGGAGAGGTCCCAGCGTAGGGGCGGCCCGCCTGCTGCCTGGGAATTGAGACGAAGTGCATTGGCGAACTCCCAATAATTGCGGGAGTGCTCCACCCCGCCGAGGGTGAACTGAACTGTATCAGCATGGTCGGAGTTCCCCTTCGAGTTGTGGTGGAAGGTGGCGTAGAACTCCCAGACTAGCTCCTTGTAGGTCGGCTCGGCGAGGGTGAGAAGACGCCGCCAAGCCTGGGAGCGGACCACGGCCTCCATCTGTGGCCTGACATGAAGCTCCTCGAACACCTCCCAATCGAGGTGATAGTGCTCGGCGATGCTGCGGTCATGGAGGTTCCGCAGCTTATGGCGCTGGAAGATGTTCATCTGGTCGAGATAAACCTCCATGATCCTGCAAAACACAATGAAGGACAAAGTGTACACAAGCAAATGGGTTCAATGTTATGGACAGTGGACTAGACTCCCGGCGAAACAAGCATACCCATCATACGAGATTAACACAGCAAAATACACCGGGGACCCTCAAATCGAGCGATTCGGACAGTGGACTAGGCCCCCGGTGAAACAAGCATACCACAACTGTACTAAATAGCACCAATCGAGGCATCACAGAAAAATCACATATCACGCATACCATGCAACATTCAATCAGCCCAATCATCCCCCAAACCCAAAATATTCCCAAACCATTCATTCCACAATCAAAAGTTCTTCACCTAACTCTAGGAATCGATTCTCCATAAATAAAAGAAAAGACGAGGAGAACACACCTGGAGACGCAAGGAGAGACCACGAGAGAGGTGAAGAAAGTGGAAAAAGACCCCCAAAGTCGGCGGAGAACACACCGGAGACTCGCCGGAAAACTCACCGCCGGCGACCCAACCTCGGCCAAACCAGCCCAACTCTTTGGGGAATGTGCTCCTCGACGCCAGGAGCGTGGGGGCGTTCGCGGTTTGTGATTTGGAGGTCGGGAGAGAAAGTTATGGCCGGAAAATCGACAGAGAATGTGAAGGGGCCGAGTTTCCGGCGAGGGGGGCTGGGAAAATTTGAAAAAAAACTGATCTGGTGGGTGGAGGGGCTGAAAAATCGATTTTATAAGGGGGGGGGGGGGGCGAAACACGGGCGGGGCAGAACACGGCCGTGTTCTGCCTGGTCCGCGCCCGTGTTTTCACTGCCGAGGGCGAAATGCTCCTTTAATAAAACACGGGCGGGCTCCTTTCAAAACACGGCCGTGTTTTCGAAGGGCCCGTGCCCGTGCTTTTTATGCCGAGGCTAAAAGGCAAAACACGGGCGGGGCAGGGCAAAACACGGCCGTGTTTTGGCCCCCTGCTGCCCGTGTTTTTACTGCCGAGCCTAAAATGCCTTTTTTTCAATTTTCAATCTCAAACCACCAAGAGTCATTCGTGCCCCGGCTCTAAAATTTACCCAATCACACATCAAAAAGAACCGCCCAAGGCACGAAAAACTAAGGGTCCGCGAGCTCCACTGCCAACTCCGCACGTTCGACCTCGTCTCCCAGGTAGAGCTTGAGACGATGGCCATTCACTTTAAACGGCTCAGTTTGTGGGTTGGCAATTTCAATCGTGCCATACGGGAACACCTGTGTGACCGTGTACGGTCCATACCACCGGGAATGGAGTTTTCCAGGAAAGAGCTTCAGGCGAGAGTTATAAAGGAGAACTCGATCACCAACCTGGAACTCTTTCGGACCCCGCAACCGTGAATCGTGCAGGCGCTTCGTGCGCTCCTTGTGGTGTTCTCATAGGCGTGATAACGCCACTCTTCCAGCTCCAACATCTGCATTTTTCGCTCAACACCTGCAACACTAACATCCAAGTTTAGCAGCTTAAGGGCCCAGAAGGCCTTGTGCCCTAGCTCCACGGGCAAATGGCAAGCCTTTCCATAGACCAGCCGGTACGGTGAAGTACCGATGGGCGTCTTGTAGGCAGTGCGACATGCCCACAGAGCATCATCGAGCTTGGTGGACCAATCCTTGCGGGATAGGTTCACCGTCTTCTCCAAGATCCGCTTGAGCTCCTGGTTCGTCAGCTCGGCCTGGCCACTGGTTTGAGGATGGTAGGCCACGGACACCTTATGAGTTACACCATAGCGAGACAACAATTTATCAAACTGACCCTGGAAATGGGTGCCTCGGTCGCATATGATGGCTCTAGGTGTCCCGAACCGGGAGAATAGCTGCTTCAGAAAACCACAAACACGTCTAGCATCATTAGTGGGAAAAGCTTGCGCCTCAGCCCACCTAGAGACGTAGTCAACAGCAACAAGGATATATGTATTACCAAAAGATGGAGGGAAGGGGCCCATAAAGTCGATACCCCAGACATCAAAAATCTCACAAGTAATAAACACATTCTGGGGCATCTGATCACGGGCAGAGATGTTACCTGACCTCTGCATCGGTCGCACCTGCGTGCGAAGGCGTCTGCGTCCTTGAAGAGCGTGGGCCAGTAGAAGCCCGACTGGAGCACCTTCCTCGCCGTGCGGTTCCCTCCGTGGTGACCGCCAGCAGGTCCTTCATGACAGTGAGATAGAATGCCCTCCATCTCACTCTCCATAACACATCGACGGATGATCCCGTCGGCTCCGATCCTGAAGAGATGAGGGTCATCCCAGAAGTAGTACTTCAGGTCGGAGAAAAACTTCCTCTTGGCGTGAGTTGTCATCCCCTTGGGCAGCTGCTGGCCCACAAGATAATTTGCAAAATCAGAATACCAGGGGGTGACACTCTCCACCAGGCACATCATCATCATTCTCTCATCTGGGAAGGAGTCGTTGATCTCCTCCTCGAGGTTGTCCGCAGGGGGTGCGTCCAACCGGGAGAGGTGATCGACAGCAACATTCTCCGCTCCCTTCTTGTCCCGAATCTCAATGTCAAACTCTTGCAGCAGTAAGATCCATCGTATGAGCCTAGGCTTGGCATCCGCCTTGCTCATCAAGTATCGAATCGCGGAGTGATCTGTATACACGGTCACATGGGACAAGACCAGATAAGGACGAAATTTATCGAAGGAAAACACCACCGCGAGCAGCTCCTTCTCCGTGGTGGTGTAGTTCTCCTGGGCATCATTCAAGGTCTTCGAAGCGTAGTAGATAGGTCGGAAATGCTGATCTCGCCTCTGCCCCAACACAGCTCCAATAGCAAAGTCACTAGCATCGCACATAATCTCAAATGGCAGGGACCAGTTAGGAACAACCATGATAGGAGCTTGTGTGAGCTTCTCCTTCAAGGTCGTGAAAGCCGCTGTGCATGCATCAGTGAACTGGAAGGGGGCATCCTTCTCTAGAAGCTTAGTCAGGGGCAGAGCAATCTTCGAGAAATCCTTGATGAATCGCCTGTAGAACCTTGCATGGCCAAGAAAACTCTGGATCCCCTTAACAGATGTAGGAGGAGGCAGCTTGTGATAGTCTCGATCTTCGCTCTGTCCATCTCAATCCCCATCTTGGAGATCTTATGCCCAAGAACTATGCCTTCTCGAACCATGAAGTGACACTTCTCCCAACTCAGTGCAAGGTTCGTTTCTTCACACCGTTTAACGACAAGCTCCAGGTTATGGAGACAGTGAGAGAATGAGTCTCCATAAACCGAGAAATCGTCCATAAACACCTCCATAATCTCGCCAACCAGACGGTCAAAGATAGCGAGCATGCATCGCTGAAAAGTGGCCGGGGCATTGCATAGCCCGAATGGGATCCTCCGGTAGGCAAAAGTGCCGAAGGGGCAGGTGAAAGTGGTCTTCGGCTGGTCCTCCGGTGCAATAGGGATCTGGAAGTACCCAGACATCACATCCAGGAAACAGTAGAACTCGTGCCCCGCCAGTCTCTCCAGCATCTGATCAATGAATGGTAGCGGGAAGTGGTCCTTCCGAGTGGCGTCGTTGAGACCCTGGTAATCAATGCAGACACGGTACCCAGTCACCGTGCGCATCGGGGTCAGCTCATTCTTCTCGTTAGGCACCACAGTCATCCCACCCGTTTTGGGTACCACCTGGGTGGGACTGACCCACTCGCTGTCGGAAATGGCGAAGATGATCACCGCGTCCAGCAGCTTCACGATCTCTGCCCGAACCACAGCCTCCAGGTTTGGTGTCAGTCTTCTTGCGGCTGTCGCACTGGCCGCATCTCATCCTCCATCAGTATCCGGTGGGAGCAGAAAGAAGGGCTGATCCCCCGGATGTCTATGATCTTCCATGCGAGAGCTCGCTCGTACCGCTTCAGCAAGGTCAGCAGTCTAGTCTTCTGCTCGGGTGTGAGGGTCGAGCTGATGATGACTGGCAGCTTATTCCCCTCCCGGAGAAATGCATACTCCAAATGAGGAGGGAGGGGCTTAAGCTCCAGCTCTGGTGGTTCCTCCAAGGAAGTAGCGATGCGGGTGGAGGATGAGATCGGTTTGAACAGCCTGTCGCCCTCCAAGAAGGGACCACTCTCCAACTCGGCCAACTGCTCTGCCAGCTGCGGCTCCTGCGATGCCTGCTCACCTAGCAAAATACAACGCTCAATAATATCGTCAGTACCCGCACTCGTTATAGCGAGTGCGGTCTCAAAATCAGCAAGCATATCACAGTAATCTATGTCATCATGCAAATGAGAGTGTTTCCCATTCTCAGACACAGAAAAGGTAGCCTGTTCATCACCAGCACGCAGAATCAATTTACCACTATGCACATCAATAAGCGCCTTGGCGGTGGCGAGAAACGGTCTACCTAAAATTAAAGGTACATCCACATCCTCATTAATATCCAAAATAACAAAGTCAACAGGATATGTGAATGCACCCACATTAACAAGCAAGTCCTCAATGATACTGATAAGCCGTTAATTGCACATGTTTTTACCCCTATTCTGGAGCCGTTTGGGATGGTAATTCTCGTGTTTTAGGCCTATTTTATGCTAGGTTGTGTTCCTTTGTCACATTTCAGGCCCTAGCACATAAAGTGAAGCGTAGGCGCAAGTTTCAAATGAATCGGAGACCATTTGACAATCGGGAGAAGAAACACGAGCATGACCTGAGGAATAATGGATTTCTACCTCATATTATGGACAAATTATCATGGATGTTTGTTATGAAAAGAAAGAGGACGAGACTACGAGCGTCTGGGTTCAAACGGCGACTGATTTGGAGTCCGGACGAGGGAGAAACGAAGCTTTGAACAGGAGCGGGGGAAGAATTACGGGCAAGAGAATTACGACCGTATTTTCACCTCCCATGCTCGTATTTTCACTGCCGAGAGGAGATTTGGGTGCGCTGAAACTTAACCAAAACGCGTGTTTTGGGCAAAATACGGGCATGGAAGAATTACGACCGTAATTCAGCCCGTAATTCGCCCAGAATCGGGTTTTTGAGGCCAATTTCGAGCCAAGGGAGAGGGAGAGCTGGGTTTTGGATCCCAAACACCCAAGGGACGAACCCTAGAGAGAGAGAGCGACTTGGTAACATTCTTGGAGCTATTTTGGAGGATTTCTTCGCCATTGGAGCTCGGGAATCAAGCTTGGAGATGGAGATTGAAGATCTAGATCAGATTTCTGCAGTCTCTCTCTTCTCTATGGAGTAACTTCCCTTCACTTAGGTTTTGAGGAACCCTAGTTCCATGAGTTAGGATCTTTCTTGTATGAAGTTTTGGATGCTATATTGTTTGATTATAATCGAATGATGCATGTTTATTGAGATAGATAGAATCTGATTAGGTTGCTAGAGTCTCATCATTCGGTAGTAGGAGATTGGCTATACGAGAGTTAGCCAGTTTACTGCTTTGTACTGGAATCCAATTCCAGTAGTGGAGTTCTGTGCTTATTGCTTCAGCTTTCTATCCCGGTGAAGACTAGTCGTCTGCCGGATAGTTAGACTGAGAGGGCTTGGTCAGCTTAAGAGATTCCAAGCTACTGTCGGATCTTCCGCAGTTTAATCAACAGTAAAACAACCAAAAGCAATTACAACTTGGACCTAATTGAGGAGCTAGGGGGAATCATACCTAAGTGAGTTCCCAAACTGTAATTAGTAGTTTTACTTAGTTTAGTTAGTATAGTAGTTTAGTTAATCAATCCTTAATCTAGTTTGCTAGATAATGAACTGAAGCTGAGTAATAGTAACTCTAGAGACCCGTGGATTCGATATTTATTACTTGTGCCACTATACTGCAGTCACTTTCATTGGTTACAGTTGGCCATTGTTAGGAGTTGTGTCGTAGCGAGTCAAGTTTTTGGCGCCGTTGCCGGGGAACTTTCTAGATTATTAGGAAAGGCAGAAGTTTGTTACTTTAGCGTTTTTTCTTTTCTTTTCTTTTCCACCCTTGCTTTTCACTTGGGTGTTTTTGTTTTTGTTGGTGCAGATCTGAATTATGGATCCTCATGGCTTCTCCAACAATTGGGGGTATCCACCACCACCCGAGTGGTATTACCCCGAGACTCCCTGGAGCAATCAAGGAGGAGAAGACTATGGATTCGGGTTCCAGTACCAACCCCCTTACTACGGAGAACAATCAGACCCCTGGGCATATCAAGAACAATCTCCTTATCAAGAAGAATTCCTCCCACAACAAGAAGGGCCATCGGATCTTGAGTTAGCCACAGCCTTCACGGGCCACTCTGCAGAGCCATGCTACACTTCACTGGAAGATCCGAACAAACAATTAAGGCTTCTCGTGGAGCAGTTTGCTCGAGACACTGAGAGATCATGCTCCAAGATGGATCTTCAAATCAAAGCCCTTGCTGCTTCCGATCCCTCATTTCTCCATGATATGGAGGAGACTGTTCAGCGCTCAGCGAAGCAAACAGAGTGGGTGGAGCAAATTTGCTCACATCTTGCTCAAGATCACCTTTCTGCTACCACGCTAGAAGAGGTGGAGGATGACAAAGGCTATGGGGATGTTGTGGAGCATACAGAAGTTATCACAGAGAACTCCCATGATAATCATGATCAGGAAAGTCCTCTGGTTGCAGATCACACAATTCCTTATTTCTGCTCTAACATGCTGGGCCCGAGCGAGGAGATGCAAGATGATCTCATTGAAGAAATTACATGGCGACTTGCTCTCCAATCTGTGCTTGAAGAAGAAGAGCAAGAAAGGGTGCAGAAAGAAGTTGTGGAGGATGACGAAAGTGAAGCAGGAGGAGTTGTTGATCATTTCCCAGGGGTGATACCACATGAAGAAGAAAGGGGGGTTGAAGAAGCAATTGGCGTCCAGGCTGAGAACAGAGTTAAGGTGGAAGAGGCATGCACCGGCCATGAGTTGCAAGTGATATCCCCACCAAACTTTGAGGAACTTCTTAGCAAGGACCCATTTGCAGTGTCTCTTTGCCAGACCAAGGCCACATCAACATCGGTCCCTCTTGGTGGACGCGATGGTGGCCAATCGATGCTGTCATATCTGGTTTGGGGCAATGAGACGAAAGAAGAGAAGAAGAGGTCTCGAGGGTGGAGACTTCATCTACATCAAGTACATGAGCCTTCATCACCTGCCACACCACATGCTCGTGACTTGAGACTCCACCTCATCGACGAGAACCTCAACTTCAAGGAGGTTCTAGCATGGACCGAAACTTAGGAGCCATCGTCCGGCTCACGACGTGAAAGAAGCGCTTGTTGGGAGGCAACCCAACTAGTCGGTTTGCATTTCTTTTTCTATTTCTCCTCGGTTGAGTCAGTTTTGTTATTTGATTTTAGAGTCAATAACTAAACCTTTGTGAGATTTTGTGTGGTGTTTGTGTTCTGATTACTCTCTCTTTCTGGAATGCACTGCCTGACCCGTTCATCATCATTCACCCTTGATCTGGTAACTTCGTTCTACCCTCGTTATCTTTCCTCCATTGAGGACAATGTCGTGCTTAAGTGTGGGGGGGTGTTCGATTATTTATGCGGGTGAATGTTTGGCTGTTTGTGTGCTTGGACCCTAGTCCACTGTCCAAATCTCGAGATTTGAGGGCTCCAAGTACGGCTGTTTGATCATATTGGCACTGTGTTTTGATTGGTGAATTGAATGGTTTTCGGATTAATGCATGACAACTGGATGGTGCTTAGGACAACCTATGATGATGACTGAGACGTGCAGTAGAGTTGTGTAGGGGTTCAGTTTTTCAACTGTTTGCTTACCAACTGTGACTTGGATTGATTACTTGTTTTTGACAGTCTCTTGTGCATCTAGTTCAGGGAATCAAAATGAGAGATAGAGCATTTAGGTAGCCATGTGAGATTTGAGCCTGCTCGTTTCTTTCTTGTGCGATAGTTCCCTCTTCCATGATGTGTAGCATTCACGTTGTCATTAGCTAAGATGATGGAGGCATAGGATTAGCCCACGACCAAATTGGCTGTCCTGGTGTGTCATACCCCCTAGTCAGCCCCTTTGAGCCGTGTGTTATCCTTTCTTTCGGTCTTTAATGAAAAGTCACCCTTTTCCATCTTTTAGAAGGTTCCACAGAGTGATTTTTACCTGTTCTCTGCTGTTTCTGCTAAATATAATGTGAGAGTGGGAGGTAGTTCTTAAAAATTTGGGCAGGTGTTTGAAAATATGCAGAGGTGGTGGTTCTCTTGAGAAATGAAAGAAAATGAAAGAAAAACAAAGAAAAATTGGAAGCAAAAGAGAGCCACTACCAAAAATCTGAATAATGCCCATTGAGTAGTGTTTCTTAGCAGTCTGGCTTGGAAATGCTAACATTTATACCTCCTTCGCTTTTGTGCTCTTGAGATATTGAGTAATGCAGAATAGCATAAAGGAAATACCGGTTTGTTTAACTGTGATTGTGTGGGTTTGGAAATGTGGAACCTTGTGCTTTGAATACTTCCACCACCTAAAAGGCCTTTTCCCCGTGTCCAAGACCCTAGCCAGTCATTTGAACCTGTGTCTAAGACCTCCTGATTAGTCAATGGTGACACCCCATATGTGAACTCTAGCATTTAGAGGCTGCCATCATGGTGAAGAGATGTTAGGATTTGAGAGAAATAGCATGCGCATTTTTCGCATCAAATTGTCCCGACCCCACTGGTCGAGAGTGAGTGATTCATTTTCATATTCTATATACTCTTGTATCCCGGTGAGGACCTAGATTGATCGGTCTCTATTCTTATGTCTTGAGTTGGATGTATGAGTTGACTGTTTTGAGTAAGTGGTTGAGTCAAGTCTAGGTTGGTTGGTAAACAGAAGGGAGACTCTTCCTTTACTCGATTTTGCTGCACTCGAATGTCCTTTGTGGTGGTTGTCCAGGTTGCTATTGAGGTTGTTCATGTATTGATGTTTGAAAACCAGTACGATTCACATGTTCTGTGCCTTTATGACTTGTCCCCAATGTTGGTTGATCGAAATATGTGAGCTTACCTTGTGTCTGACTTGGTTTGCTTGGGGACAAGCAAACGGTTAAGTGTGGGAGAGTTTGATAAGCCGTTAATTGCACATGTTTTTACCCCTATTCTGGAGCCGTTTGGGATGGTAATTCTCGTGTTTTAGGCCTATTTTACGCTAGGTTGTGTTCCTTTATCACATTTCAGGCCCTAGCACATAAAGTGAAGCGTAGGCGCAAGTTTCAAACGAATCGGAGATCATTTGACAATTCGGGAGAAGAAACACGAGCATGACCTGAGGAATAATGGATTTCTACCTCATATTATGGACAAATTATCATGGAAGTTTGTTATGAATAGAAAGAGGACGAGACTACGAGCGTCTGGGTTCAAACAGCGACTGATTTGGAGTCCGGACGAGGGAGAAACGAAGCTTTGAACAGGAGCGGGGGAAGAATTATGGGCAAGAGAATTACGACCGTATTTTCACCTCCCATGCCCGTATTTTCACTGCCGAGAGGAGATTTGGGTGCGCTGAAACTTAACCAAAACGCGTGTTTTGGGCAAAATACGGGCATGGAAGAATTACGACCGTAATTCAGCCCGTAATTCGCCCAGAATCGGGTTTTTGAGGCCAATTTCGAGCCAAGGGAGAGGGAGAGCTGGGTTTTGGATCCCAAACACCCAAGGGACGAGCCCTAGAGAGAGAGAGCGACTTGGTAACATTCTTGGAGCTATTTTGGAGGATTTCTTCGCCATTGGAGCTCGGGAATCAAGCTTGGAGATGGAGATTGAAGATCTAGATCAGATTTCTGCAGTCTCTCTCTTCTCTATGGAGTAACTTTCCTTCACTTAGGTTTTGAGGAACCCTAGTTCCATGAGTTAGGATCTTTCTTGTATGAAGTTTTGGATGCTATATTTTTTTATTATAATCGAATGATGCATGTTTATTGAGTCAATTGAAGTCTGATCAACTTTTCCTGATTCCTGCTGCAATCTGAGATAGATAGAATCTGATTAGGTTGCTAGAGTCTCATCATTCGGTAGTAGGAGATTGGCTATACGAGAGTTAGCCAGTTTACTGCTTTGTACTGGAATCCAATTCCAGTAGTGGAGTTCTGTGCTTATTGGTTCAGCTTTCTATCCCGGTGAAGACTAGTCGTCTGCCGGATAGTTAGACTGAGAGGGCTTGGTTAGCTTAAGAGATTCCAAGCTACTGTCGGATCTTCCGCAGTTTAATCAACAGTAAAAGAACCAAAAGGAATTACAACTTGGACCTAATTGAGGAGCTAGGGGGAATCATACCTAAGTGAGTTCCCAAACTGTAATTAGTAGTTTTACTTAGTTTAGTTAGTAGAGTAGTTTAGTTAATCAATCCTTAATCTAGTTTGCTAGATAATGAACTGAAGCTGAGTAATAGTAACTCTAGAGACCCGTGTATTCGATATTTATTACTTGTGCCACTATACTGCAGTCCCTTTCATTGGTTACACTTGGCCATTGTTAGGTGTTGTGTCGTAGCGAGTTAGATACCCCTAGGATGCACGATAGAACGATCAGCTAACTGAATGCTCATCCTAGTAGTTCTAGGTTCACCTAGGCCTAGCTTCTTAAACAAATTATAAGGCATGACATTTATGCTAGCGCCTAGGTCCGCCAAGGACTTTCCTACATGCATGCTGCCAATAACAAGAGGGATAGTGAAACTCCCTGGGTCTTTTCGCTTCTCGGGCAGCTTGTTCTGCAGGATAGCAGAACACTCCTCGCTCAGCATCACTGTCGAAAGATCCCCAAGTTTCTTCTTGTTGGTGAGGAGGTACTTCATGAACTTGGCATACTTGGGCATCTTTGACAGTGCCTCCACGAACGGCATGTTGATGTTGACCTGCTTCAACATTGCCATGAACTTGGCAAGCTCAGTCTCCAGCTTGTCTTTATGCAGGCGAGTGGGGAAAGGAAGCTGAGGTACATGCTCCTTAACCACTGGCTGTGGCTTGGGAGCAGGCGTTGTTGTGTCTTCCCCCACTTCTGTAGTATCAGCTGGAAGTGTTGAAGCAGGTAGTGGCTCATCTCGACTGGGCTGGGCAGGAGTGGCCGATGTGGTCTTGCCACTCCTGGTGGTGATGGCATCAAGCTGCTGGTGCTGGTGAGGATCACGATGATTGGGAACAGTGGTGGCAGGCAGAGTCCCCAGTGCCTTGGTAGTGTTCTAGCGGGCCAAGATACCCACCTGGTTCTGCAGATCTTGCAAAATGGCACCCTGGTTCCTCTGACCTGCCTCCAGTTATGTGATAGCTGCCTGAGTGCTAGTCATGAATGAAGCTAGAATATTTTCCAGCTTCGTCATCTGGGTATCTGGAGCCGGAGCTGCTGCTGGCTCGGCAAACTGGCGCTGTGGCTGCTGGAATGGTTGCCCCTGCCTAGGCTGGTAGGGCTGCTGCTGTGGGGCTAGCCCCTGTCGAGCCTGGAAGGGCTGCCTCTGCTGAAAGCCACCAGCTGGTGCTGGGAAACCCGGTGGCTTAGTGGTGTTGCTGCCCCAAGAGAAGTTGGGATGCTGGTGCCACCCCTCATTATATGTGTTGCTGTACGGGTAGAGGCGCCGAGCATTGGCGATGAAGTCCAACTGCTCTTGGGGAGTAGTAGACTCCCTCATAGCCTGGCAGTCTTCCACTAAGTGATTCGAGCTCTCACACCACTGACATTGAGCAACTGGAGGTGTAGCCAAACCTCTGCCCGGAATAAGACTGTTGCGCTGCTTCAATGTCTGCACTAGCTCAGCCACCTGCTGCTCGAGCCCGAATCTGGTCTCCATGGCGTGCACACCACGGTCCCGGGAATGTTTGCCTCTGGTGCTCTGTCCCCAAGAATGATCTCTAGCAGCCAAGGTATTGATCATCTGGTTCAGCTCGGGTGGAGTCTTAGTAAGAATATCCCCTCCTGGGCATAGAGACTCAATCACACTCTGGCTATCTAGAGAGAGAGCACTGTAGAAGTTCCCCACTGTGAATGCATCACTGAAACCATGATGGGGACACTCCCAGAAATATCCCATGTACCGCTCCCATGCATCACGAAGTGACTCATCTGGCTCTTGGCAGAAGCAAGCAAACCCGTGAAGGCACAAGTGGGACAAAGCAAACAAAGCAAAAAGAAAAGCTAAATTAACAGAAATCACTTTTCTTCAACAACCTAGCCGTCCCCGGCAACGGCGCCAAAAACTTGACTCACTTCTACTGTCACGCCAGGAATTGGCCAAGTGAAACCACTTCCTAAAGCGTAGTATAGCGGGCTTGGGTTTAAATGTCAACCCGGGTCCTAGATTTGATGACTACTCGGTGAATTCTTGTTATCTAGCAATGAAACTTTAATGCAAGTCTAAACTAACAAACTAAGAAAGCAAGTAAACTGTTGTATTCAGGTTAAGAGAGGTCACCCGGATATGGTTCCCCCTAGACTGCAGTTAAGCCGGATTGTAATTACCAAGTTCAGTTTCTATGATAGTTATACTGCGGAAGGTTCTTAAACAGCCTGAAGTCTCGACTAAAGGTCTTCAGACCCTCTCAATTTGAGTCTCTAGCGGGCGACTAACCTCCACCGGAGTAAACAGAATGAGGCCCTATGAACAAAACCTCCACTACCGAAGTAAATCCGGTATAGAATAGTGAGTTGGCTCCTCCACTAAAGTCACCAACTCCCTACCTTCAATCAAGGATGCTCTATCAACCTAGGCAGATATTCTCATTCTAGGTTAAAGCAGAAACAACAGGAATTTGATCAGGATTCAAGTCATTCAATCATTCAAACCTCAATCGAATATAATCAAATCATAGAACCAGTACTTGGGTTCATACAATCAAACCTAACATACAAATCTAGGGTTCTCCATACCCAGATGAATGGGAGAACTACTCCATGGAGAAAGAAGCAAAAGCAGAATCAGACGCGGAATTCATACTGTGAAGGATGGATTCCTGCTCCTGGACGTTGATCGGCACTTCTCCAAGCTCAAACTGGCCTCCAATGGTGATGAAGATCAAGCTAGGGCACTTGGAGACTCTTGTTCGTCGCTTTCTCTCTCTAGGATTCGCTCTATCTCTCTAAAACTCGAATCCCCCTCTGTTTTGGCTAAAATCTGCTTAAAAGGGCATCAGTGGCCAAAGCACGGTCGAGGGCACGGCCGTGCTTTGCCTCAGCCCGCCCGTGCTTTGGCTAGGGTTAATTACACGGCCAGTGCGTTGGGGGAAGCACGGGCGTGTTTGATGATGGACACGGCCGTGCTTGTGGTGGCCACGGCCGTGCTTTGTCTAAGCCCTGCCCGTGTTTTTAGCCAATGTTTGCCAAACTCGAATTTGCTCTCGGCAGTAAAAGCACGGCCACAGAACACGGCCGTGTTCTGTTTTAGGTGTGCCCGTGTTTTGGCTCCAGCTAGACGAAATGACTTCCGAATGCCCCGAAACTCGTGTTTAGCCTTTCCTTTGACGCCTGGGACCTGAAATATGACAAAATAGCACAACCCGGCGTAAAATAGGCCAAAAATACACGACTATGCCCCTCAAACGGATAAGAACTAGGGGCGCAAATATGTGCAATTACATCGTTATCACTTCTACAACATGTGGGGGTATCCACAACCACCCGAATGGGGGGTACCCCGGTGCTTCATGTAGTGACCAAGAAGCTGGAAGCCAAGGAACCGGGTTCTATGATCAACCTCCCTTCCAAGAAGAAGAACCATACCAATGGAGATATGAAGCGGCTTCCCCATATAAAGAAGATTTCCTTCCATAAGTTGAGCAGAAATCCAAGTTGGAGTTTGCAATGTAAACTTTCATGGGACAATCCGCAAAACCATTTGCCACTCCACAACCGGAGGCAAAGAGCCAATTGGAGCTCATGGTGGAGCGGTTTGCTCGAGGCACCGATGAAGGGTGCTCGAACTTGGATCTCCCCCAACTCGAAGTGAAGTCTAAGTTTGGAGCTTGCCATGTAGAAATTTGAAAGAACAAGCTCCAACACGGATTTCCAATCCCTCCCTCCACCCGGTTTGACACTTCAAGAGAAGGTGATTCGAGCTTGTGCAAGCTATCGCCTCTCATCATTGGAAGAGAAAGAGGAGGTTAAAGGAGAGATCAATGACAACCGTGTGAAGCAAGAAGAACTCACCCCAGAGAGATCCCATGGTAAGGCTGAACAAGAAGATTGCATTGACGATCCTCATCACTTTCCCCTTCCCGGG